AATTTTATTTTTGTGGCTACAGACACAAATGATTTGAGTAAGAATATTTTTTTTACACTTGATAAATCATGTAGAAATAAACTAAGACATATTTCCATGGCATAAAAATAATTCTTCCAAAAATGAATGTCATTATATGCATTTTATTGTACAAAGCCACAACATATACATTGTATGTAGAATTAATTCTATGTCTTATGAAATATTTATATCAAATATTTGTTTCCTGGTCAGATGTGTCTGAACAAGAAATGAAAATTGATTTATAATACTGGAATAATTATTCATATAAAAACATTCAATAACAAATATCCTGCTTTCTAATCTCTTATTAAAATAGATTTGTTTGGAATAGCTTACAATAGAGGTTTTGCTCATTTTTGAAGGTCATACAGTGACTTCTAGTTGTTAATATCCTTGTCCTTTGATCTTTGGTTGAATGTTGTCTCATTGGCAATCATACCACATCTCCTTACTTTGATTAAGGAACCAAACATAAATAAAAAGACATATTAGGTTACATAAAAAGGAACATGATAAACAGATTTTCAAAAAAAAGTTACTTCTGAGTGCAAAAAAGAACAAAAAAAAAAAAAACATGTCCACACTTTTTCAAAATTGTCTTCAAAAAAGCAGTAAGAGTAGAGACTGATCAGTTTGTAGCCAGAATAATGTGTCTGAGTACATGTAGGTGATATGTCTTCATGCAGACTGTTACCATGTGAGCTTTTTATTAAAAATCACATATCTAGTAAAATTTAGGGTATATTCATATCTCATTAACATAATTTTCATCTTAATATGCATGGAATATATTCTGCTGGACATTAATGAGGGGCCTGATGGGTTATTTTTGTTCTTCGTGATCGGTGCATTTTCGCTATCGTGATCCGTTTTTCTACAGATTTTTTTTTTTTTTATATTTTCGTGATCCGTGATCATGGAAATTTATTTTCTGTGAATCATGATTGACAAAAAAATCAACTCGTGAATCGTGATGAGACCCCCCCATCAGGCCCCTCATTAATTATTCAATCAATCCTTAAGGTATATAATCACACAAAAAACAGCACCACATAAAACATATTAAAAAATACAGAAAGAAATCTATTTTCTGGTACCATCTTGATGATTGGTCCAATGTCATCAAGGGTGAAAACATCAAGGTCAAGAAGGCAATAAAAATACAATATATGATATATTCATATTTTTTATCATCTTCAAAATTTTTTGACAGCTTGATTGATTGTTGAGTGCTGAAACAAACAACAATCAATCAACTATAATTAAAGTTTTGATTTAGCACAAATATTTATATAAATATAAATCATTTTAAAATAATGACCTGTCAAATCGTACATCGATTTCGAGAAAGCCTGATAAGATAAGTATGATACCCTTCATGGCAGTTTATTAATTATGCACAATAATAACATAATTAATTAGCATATAAATTGTTTTGAAGACATTGGAAAAGTAACTCCTATTTTATGACTATGTATCTATACAAACTACTAAACCTCATAACAAGCACAAGTGAAAAATCAAAGCGAAAAACAAATTAAAAAAAACTTACATTATATTTTGCTTTGTCAGACATTCAACATTTCATATGTGTAATTTATGATAAAGAGAGCAACAATAAAGAACAAAGCAACATACTGCAGATAATTACACATAAGAAATAAGAACTTAAACAAAATACTGTTGAATCATTATAGCCACTACTTATCAGTGATTGTCTCCCCTCATTTTTCATATTATGCCTCTCCACATAAACTCCTCTCCATACTTACAAATGAAATACACACAAAATAAAAAGACTTTTTTGGCCCCAAAAGACTAAATCATCCAGTAAAAATTTAAGAGTAACATACTACTATATCACATAAATAATTAAAATATAGTGTTTCTATTGTAAATAAAACTATTCATTGTTTTTTTTTCTGATTACATTAATTTACATGTGTAAGTGTTAGGTAAAATAGGAGAAAGCTTGGCATTGAGTACCAGTTTTAATCTCCAAATTTTGATCAATATTTTAGTGTTGATCAACCAAAACAGTAAATGTAGTATAATACATATCAAATTAAATTATGAAAATACATAATAGACGCATGGAGTATATATACATGTTGAGATGATATCACATATTATATCATAAGAACCTGTGATTTAGTAAATAGTATGAAAAATGCAATAGGTACACTTTTCACAATCATAGAAATTCAAAAAATATATTCAACTTTCATTGATCAACAAAGTATTTAAGAAAAGATTAATACATCACAGCCAACAATTTTTAGTTGATCAAATGATGCAGGTATGTTCAAATAAATTCTAGGCATTAAAATTGATCAAAAACTATGCACTTTTATAAATTCTTTAAAAATAAGTTATTTGACAAAGTCATATGACCAGTTTGTAAGAAGAAAACTAATTTTTCAAGTTGAATTGTTATGTTGTATGTAAATGAAATAGTTTCAACTATACACCCTTTCTCGTCAGATTTAAACATTTTGCTGAATTTTACAACCGAATAAGGCTATTGATACACAATCAACACCCTTTGCCATTTATGCATATCGATAAAAATATATATAAATCCATTTTACACTTATGATGCCATGTTGAGAATATGTGAATAACAAGTTATGATTTTCTGTCACTGTACAGCTAACTTTTCAATGATGATGCCTTTTGTTTCTTACCTGAAACAAAAAGAAAAGGGTTTTCTATTAAAATATTAAAGTAACTTAGATAGATATAAGAAGATGTGGTATGAGTGCCAATGAGACAACTGTCCATCCAAGTCAAAATTTATAAAAGTAAACCATTATAGGTCAAAGTACGGTCTTCAACATGGAGCCTTGGCTCACACCGAACAGCAAGCTATAAAGGGCCCCAAAAATTACTAGTGTAAAACCATTCAAACGGGAAAACCAACGGTCTAATCTATATAAAAAATGAGAAACGAGAAACACTTATGAACTACATCAACAAACGACAACTACTAAACATCAGATTCCTAACTTAGGACAGGTGCAAACAATTGCAGCTGGTTTAAACGTTTTAATGGTACCAAACCTTCACCCTTATCTGATACAATAGTGTAACATCACAACATAGAAAGACACACTATAAAATAGACCTTATTAAGTTTACAATTTTAAATTATGCATTACATTTTTTGCATGCAACAGAAACAAATTATGTTTCATCAATGTAAAATATCAAATATAGGCCCTAATTAAATCTCTAGACCTATGGAAAATGTTTGCACTCATGACCATTACTGGCATGATGAAGAACAATAAGACAAGAGCTGCCTTTATATATGACAATTCTCATTCTGTCGTTACATGAACATTCATTCTATATTCCTTTTCCCCAAATTACTTGCTGGGTGCATGCAAATCACATGACGTGCTGTAAAACTTTTAACACTGCAAATCACATCATGACATGATATGCTGTAAAACTTAACACTGCAAATCACATCATGACAAGATATGCTGTAAAACTAAACACTGCAAATCACATCATGACAAGATATGCTGTAAAACTTAACACTGCAAATCACATCATGACATGACACTGCTGTAAATCTTAACACTGCAAATCACATCATGACATGATATGCTGTAAAACTTAACAATGCAAATCACATCATGACATGACATGATGTAAAACTTTACACTGACTAATTGCTGTTGTATAGCAAATTAATGAAGGATTGGGAATGGTCTTGCCTATATAAAATGTTATACAGTACATACTTTTTGGGAATGGTGGCAGAGGACATTTTAGCGACTAAAATCTGATGTATAACCAATTTGAGTACCTATTTTAGTGAAAAGCAACAGAAATAAATTCTTAGTAGAATGGTACATTTTAATAGTATCAAGACAGCACAATACAAAAACATCATGTACATAAAAATATAGCACTAAAAGTAAAAAAAAGTTAACTCAAATGTGTAATTGTCAGTTTATGTCCCAGTAAACCTGTGTAATGGGCTCTTGATATATCCCTGTACAAGCTTGTTCACAAAATTGTGATTAGATTGTTAAGCAGATTCATCAATACTTCTTATTTTAATATAAGTGGTTGTTTTTAATTTGATGATAGCATCCAGAAAATGTAAATGACTGATTGAAGTGCCAGGCCATCACATGTCACACTTTTATTTCCTCTGTTAAATTCCACAACATTTATTTCCATGATTAACCAAGTTGTAAATGCAAACAACTTAAACATAAAGCTAGCATTTAAATTTATTGATGTTCACAGTTTTAGTATGGTGTTTTATTCAACCAGGTAAATTTTTGTTAAAATGGGCTATAGACAAATACAGAGGATTGGATTAATTCGCTGCTGAAAAAGGCTATAATGTATGCGATAAAATGTCCCATAGAAGTTTTAAACTTTTCACTGAAATGTCCTGTGCCAGTTAGATAAGGGTTTAGCAAGCCGGAAAGATTGATTATGAGGAGGGGCTGAATTATTTGAATTAAATATTTTTAGGAATATAATTTTAGCCTCTAAATAACACAGATTATTTTAATTCTCCATTGAACTCATCTGAAACTGCCAAATACAAACATCTTACTGATTTATAGAATTATCTCCCTTAACCCCAGGGTGCCCTCTTAAACATTGAACTTTGACTTAAAAATGACAACCACCAGTTCATTTTTGTAAATCAAATGCATTTAATCATTTTAAAAATGATCAGAGCAATGCTGATTAACTTAGACGATACCTAGACCACTTGGCCTCTTGGGGTATTAGTAATCCTAAACTTTATCATTCAATCCCATTTTAAAGCCAAAAAAACATAGCAGAACTGTACAAGAAATGACGCCTCCGGGTGCAGGAGTTTCTCGCTGCATTGAAGACCCATTGGTGGCCTTCAGCTGTTGTCTGCTCTATGGTCGGGTTGTTGTCTCTTTGACACATTCCCCATTTCCATTCTCAATTTTAAGATAAAAATTAACCTTACCTTCATTCTAATCTCCTGACAGTACTCTCAACTTCCGTTTTTGTATTTTTCTGCTTCAGTTTATGCGGTATCACCCGACAGCTAAAACAAAAATCAGAAATGTTCTAGTTAAAAAAAAATAAAAAAGCAATGGTAAACTAAGATTCAATTTACAAGTACATAAACACTTTTACTTCTTTTCTAAGTGCATGTAATGTTTGAGATTGAAAATTCTATGGATTTGAATTTAAAATGTGATATTGTTGATAGCAATTAATTAGCTTCAAATCACTTTAACTTCCAATTTACTTACTTATCTCCATTAATATTGACTATCACAGTTCCAGATTTTCTTGTAGAAAACAATTTTTCTATTCTTGAACAATCATTTTCAGAGTAATCTTGCCATTCACCATCTTTGTTGTACTGCCATGTTGCTGGAGTTATACTAGCTGTTTCTAAATGGATGAAATACTTTAATTTAGATAAAACTAGCACAATGTAGATTTATAAGTAAATTTATAATAAAATGATTTCTAATGTATTTTGTCCAACTAGAATGTCTGAGGTGCAAAACAAATTACTGTAACAAATCCTGTTACATGCTTATTGGGGCTGACCCTAAATATGAAATTTTTGTTTATAATGGATTGATAATCAATCAAGTTTTATATGTCTAATTACTTCAAATATGAAAAGTTTACTTTATCAATGTTTAAAGCAACCAGTATGCGTTTCCAGATTTGTCATTCACAAGGCACAACAAATTTACACTGATTTGTTGAAAAATAGGCAACGATCTCATTTTCATTGACTGAAAAACTGGACTTTTATTACTGTCCACAAAATATAATTTTGTATAAAAAGGTCAACCATGTGCAAATATATTTTACTTTTCAAACACCCTAACCCTGAAACAATCTGAACTACAAAAGGCAAACCCTTAAAGGACCATATAAATGTTTCACATTTATTAAAATGTAATATTTTACTTTTTCTATTGATCTGCAAATGTTCATATCAATACATTAGAACAAATAAATTTTTTGGTTAATATATAGTTACTAATATTACAAGCATGTTTTTTTTTCCTGGATTTCCTTGCATATATTATGCTTCGTAACATTCTGTTCAATATTCATATTTATCGAATTTATGAAATATTCATTTAACTTTCAAATCTCTTTGAACTTAATAGAATTTGACTGGATGTTTTCTTTAACTCATCAATTATGAAGTCTAAAATTGATTATGTAATGAAAATCAACATTTACAATTTTCTTAATTACATGGAATAACAAAATTTACTTAACTTTAAGACATATTAAAAAGTCAATGTCCATACATATTCATTACTTTGAGGAAAATATATCTAATATTTTTTGTGATAAAATGCTGTAGTACTGTGTTCGTATAGGCAGAGACAATATGTGTGGTCCATCGTGTGACCAATACTAAAACCTTGCCTTTAGTCAGTTTTTTTATATCAAGAAAAGCTTTGTACATTTGTATATTTTTAATAACAGGATGTGATGTATGAATCATACAAGACTTACCATCACTTGAATCTGCTGGTTGTGATTTAGAATCTTGTTGTATGTTACTGGTATCAAATGGTTCTCTCTGACTAGTAGGACCAGTCTGTGGTGGGTTTATATTGTTTATATTTGGCTGTTGGAAACCAGTTGCTTCACCTGGTTCCTCACCTGGTCCATCTGTTTGTATATTAGAACCTATATTCTGAAAAATAGGGGCCTCTTCTCTTGGTATATTTGATGTGGGTTTTTCAGCATTACGTTTTCTTTTTTCTTTTATTCTTTCATAATCCCTTGGAGTTCTAAAATATGAAACATTTTTTTCAGCTTTCATTTTCTTATACAGAATATTATTGCAAAGCCAATTACCATTAATTTAGCACCATCTACTCTAACTTGGCATTTTATGCAAAAAAAACCAAACCTCTTTGATTGATACACAAAAGAAATATAATTGACATTAATTTTTTTTATCCATAGTGGATAGAATTATAAGTTATGGTAATTAACACATGGTTTTCATATCTATATCTAAGAAAATCAGTGTACTTTCTAACCTTCAATGATACTAGATCATTGCAACACAATATTATTATCAAAATGAACAAGCATTCTGAGAGTATTGCATGGCAATACATAGTCCCCTACCGGGTAAAAATTACATTATACTGGAACAAAATGCTAACTTGTTCTATAACTTGTCATGGTGAAAACAAAAAGAAAATATCAAGTCATTATATTTAAGCATGACTAAAAACAGTGTGAAAAACTGATTCTATGAGTGAATTTTTCAAGTCCAAGGACCATAACATGCACAAAATTATCAGACCGAAACAAAAATTGGAACTTGATCTGTAACTTGTCATGATAAAACTATATACCAATTATCAATCAATATCTTCAAGCATGATGAAAAAAAGTGAGGAAAACACTCTTAACATTGGATATGATTAATAGTTCTCTAAAATTAGATATGATGTAATACAATGTATATCTATTTTCAAATTATAATCAAATATAATTAATAGTTCCAAATATTTTTTCTTTCATTTGTCACAAACTAATATAGATTTGTAACTTATCTATAAAATGTCAACAACTTTTATCTACACAATGTAATGTAATGAAATATATACCTTAATAAAAATAGATTATTATCTTATTAAAGGATTTCACTTAATAATTTTTTTTTATATATATAGCATTCAGAAAAATAGTTTAAATACAAAATAACAAACAAACCTGGCACAAATTTTTCAAACAATTTACTAAAGAATTTCTTTTAAAAAATGAGTTATCTCTCTTTGTATAGAAATATGGTTTAACATAGTACTCTAACATTAGATATGGATTTTTTTTATGGACCATAACTCTGGACTAAATCATCAGACCGGAACAAAATTCGAACTTAATCTATAACTTGTCATAAAAAAATACACCAAATATCAAATCAATATCTTCAAGCATGAAGAAAAAAGTCTGGAAAACTAATTTGCCGGACTGATGGATGGACATACAGACAGACGGACAGACGGACAGAGTGCAAACCTAAAGTCCCCTTCGACTTTGTTGGTACGGTAGGGGACTAAAATCTTGTTGTTATTCATAATACAAAATATTTTCATGGTCATTTTAAATATTTCCCTCCAATACCTGGTGAGATGAAATCTTTTCTCCCATTGTTGGACACTTTTATACAATGTAGAGACAGATGGTTAGAATAATTTTAACCATTTTGTGGGTTCAATTGTTTCATTTATAAACCAGTAACTTCAAGTACGGAAATGTGATTGTTAACTAATCCGTTATGATGGCATGTTACAGGTAGTTTCATTGGCAACAGTGCCATTGTTGTCCTATTAAATCTTAGTGTTTTAAACACGAAAAATGGAAAACTATTTGAGAGAAACAAATTCCTCCTCTGTTATTCTCTGTGTCTCATGAGAAACAATATTTTTCCAATCTCTTTTGTCAAATTTTATATTTAAAGACTTGCTTCATAAAAATTAAAAGGAATATAACACTTAGTATAAGTTTTATACTATACTATATTTACCTTCATCAGGAATGCTCAAAGCGGATAATTTAAAGCCAATGATGTATAAGAACCGAAAATATTGCTAAGCTTGCATGCTGAAAATCTAAAATTTTACTATCTTGATTTGAGAAATATTATAACTCACTTGCCACAAAAGGACTAATATTTTTGTACAATACTGAGATTTCAACATCACAATTAAATGGTCTAGTAACCAGTGGATGATAGACTTACTTTTATGAATGGATAACTTGCAAAATATAAATTGTAACAACATATAATCTGGCAGATACTACAAATTGCTTACATAGTCTCAAGGTCAATTTTACCAAATCCACCATATCTGTAGTTGCCACGGATACCATTCTCCCACCTGACCTGTTAAATATATAATTTCCAACTCATATTAAAAACTTTACTTATATAGTCAATCTGGAAAGAAGTTATTTATAATTACAGTTTACCAATTCAAATCATATAAAAAATTAAGCTGGTGATATTAATCAAATCTATGCATTAACAAATTTCCTCATTGAAATAAAAAAAGATGATGGACTTTAACTATTTACTATAGGGTATGCATTTTGCTCATTGTTGAAGGCCTTCTGTTGATCTATAGTTCCGCTAGTTGTCTCATTAGCAATCATCTACATCTTCTTATTTTCATATTGACTGAATTCTAGTAACTAACATATAGATATATTTTCTCTTTTTTTTCAGGAAATTTATATAAAATAAGTTTTTCTTTTAAGCAAGTCATGCTCACACTGTCCAAGTCCATTTTATAATTCAAAATAAACAATTTCAGGGCTAAAAAGACCAAACATTAACAAGGGAAAATTAATGCACGAATACACTAAAAGCAAGTGTTGCATGAAACAGATAAGTGATTTGCAAAGTAGTGTGTAGACTATTATTATGGCGGTTCATATATGATTGGTCATCAGACAATTTTTTTTATTAAGACCATTGAAACATTATTCAAGTTTGGGCCCTATTGGCTTAGGTTACAGAGGATATGGTTTTTGCTAAAAAAATTTGCAAAGAATAACAGATTATGACTGCATAAGCTACCAGTATGTAAGTTAAAAGGTCTTACATGTACAATGCCTTCATCTTCGACATGATAAACACAGCCTACAGAACCATCTCCTCCATCTTGTTCATCCCACTCCCAATCTCTACCTACAAAGTACAGCAATAATTAATAATTATATAAATATGATGTAGTATACAGGCAAAGAAGAAGGTATGATAAAGTTGCCTTTTCAGTTAAAAGGGAAAATAACAAAAATACCGAACTCCAAGGAAAATTCAAAATGGAAAGTCCCTTATCAAAATGAATGAAAATGAATAAAAAGTTTTATAAATATATCAAATAACATCTTTCAGATGTTAAAAAAGACAATAGGATATCATTATTAATATTTTTGAATTTAGTCTGACATTTTTTTCTTTAATTACAGCTTCAAATTTCTTTCCTTTAAAAAAAAACTACAAAAACTCCCAAAACAACCTTGCATTGACATAAACATTAGATACGAGCCAAGGCCTTCCTTATAAAGATTCAATAAGAATGAAGATGTCTTTTTCTCAGATTTTTTAATCATTGGCATTGGCCAAACTCATCTAATATGACCTTACAATAAAATACGAAACCTGTATCTTACCTTTTTTAACATAGACCCCTTCAGCTATCAAAACTTCATCTGGTAAAATCCTTGGTTCATCAACAACAACTAAGTCATGTGCATTCTGGGCACCATGACGATATCTACCGACATTCCCACAATCCCATTTTACTCTAACATATCCTGTTAAAAACAGATGTAATACATTAATATTTCCTTACAATTATGGATGTTTACCGGTAATAAAATTTACATCTATTACATATTGAAATAATGATGAGTGACAAGAAGAAGAAATAAGAAATAAACAAGTGACAACAAAAATAAAAATGAAATGACAACAGATACCAACAAGATGAGTGAAAAATGATTATACTGACAGAAAAAAAGAAACCAGAGGCTCTAAAGAGCCTGTGTTGCTCACCTAGATCCATGTGCATAATCAACAATGGACTCTCTCCAACATTGAAGACAAGAATAGAATTCATGACAAAAATTTCTTTATTGTTGATTTTGTACTGCTGATAATTTTTTCTGTTTAGTTTCTCTCTATCTTCTTAATTTTTGCTCAAAACACAAAAGAGGGTAAAAAATCCTCATTCAAGGGCAATCACTCCTGAAGAGTGACAGTCTACTTACAATATCAATAAAATTTGACTTGTTTGTGGATCTTACCTTGCCGATCATTTTTGTTATCTAAAGTTTCTATTTATCTATTATAATTTTTATCATATAAGGCAAAATGCATAAAAGTTGGTAAAAATCGTCATTAAAGGTCAATAACTCCAATAAGGAGTTGTCGGAAAATTTCCTCCATATTTTCTGAAATGTAGATCTTGTCTTGTGGATCATTTTTGCTTATTTAAGTTCCTATTGATCTATTATAATTTTTAAGATATAAGGCAAAAATGCAAAAATTGGTAAAAATCATCATCAAAGGACAATAACTCTAATTACGAGTCGACTGACAATTTCGACCAAGGCTTCCACAACGGTCATATATTCTGGACATTTGTATAATGTCCGGTAAAAGTCCGGCTGGGCAAAAGCATGAAACAGTCATCTATTTTTTAGTTTTCAAGGTTTTCTTAAGAGACGGTCATTTTAACATAATTCGCGATCTTTTTGACCTAACCTTTTGCCTTTAACAGCCACACATTTCCGGTCATAAAAGTAACATGATCATTAAGTACTATCTTAACAACCCCTACTTTAATACCTTCTCATTTTAATCAAGGCTAATTAGTTGTCGAACAGCTGAAATTTACCTGTTCAGGTGACAGGTAAACTATTTTGAACCGGACATTGATCGGTCTATTCAAAGTTATTTTCTTACATATCAGCGGTTTGCATCTAATTAATTTAGTCAAAAAGATTTAAATTATCAGAAATATGTTTACAAATATGATTTGATGAAAAAACTAAAAAGGTGAAAATGAAAAATCGTCATAACCACGTTGTTTGAACCAGAGACATGTCTCTGTTTGAACTAGTACACGTATGTGCATGTGCACAGGTGTGAAATTTAATTATGCATCCTAATTTCTTCAAAAATGCTTAAATTGTCATTGATACCTTTATCTCACGTTTATTTCGAATATTTTCTTGAAAATAACGTAGATAGAGCTGCTTACACTCATTCATGCTTTGAAAACGTACACGGAATTTACGTATCGGTCTCTGGTCCATGTTTTACCATTGTCAAGATAACATCCGGTAAAAACGAAAGTAAAGTTTTTGACAACGTTATATTTTGCACAAATAAAGAATCTAAGGCAGACATAAGTACGCTAATGTTGCACACTTCGAATGATGCACTGCCAATTTAACAATTTACGTCAGAACTTCGAATTTGAATCAAAGAAAGTTTAATATCATTTTTTTTTAATGTCAATCATTGGGATGGTCAACTCGGCAACTGATTACCATAATTGCCTTTTGTTTATTTAGTCTTCTCTTAAGGGATTAAAATCAGAATCATATATAAAATGTCCGGCTGGCTTAAAATAATTTTGGAATCCCTGATTTCGACCATGCCATACTTATTTGTAGATTTTGTCTTGTTGATCATTTTTGCAACTATCTATTTCTCTCTATCTATTATAGTTTTCAAGATAAAAGGCAAAAATGAAAAAAATGGTAAAATTTGTCATTTAAGGGCAATAACTCCTATAAGAAGTCACCTGATAGTTTTGACTTATAAAGCTCAACATATTGAACATTTTTGCCCTGTCAGATTTTCTCTATTCATGACGGTTTTCAAAATAAAAGACAAAACTTGCATTTTACCCCTATGTTCTATTTTTCCCATGTCGGCCATCTTGGTTGGCAGGCGGGATCATTTTCAAACTAGATACCCCAATGATGATTGTGGCCAAGTTTGGTTAAATTTGGTCCAGTAGTTTCAGAGGAGAAGATTTTTGTAAAAGTTAACAGACGATGACGACAACGGCGACAATGACGGATGACGAAGGACGGACGCCAAGCGATGAGAAAAGCTCACTTGAGTCTTTAGGCCAGGTGAGCTAAAAAGCTGATGCATGAACTTGAACGCACTTTCATTTTTGGAAAAATTCACTGTGAAAAATATTTAAAATTCAGCCTAAAAATTCATAATAGATTATGCTGAAAGTATTTCCTTTTCCCTACTGTACAGTTTCTTTTGTTTTTATTTGATCATCATTAATTCTTACAAATAATATTCTTGATATTAACTTGTAATAATTGATGAATCAATCAAGGATTTTTGTTCAGTTATAATGCCACTTATTATAATATATATTAATATTTGTGAAGCATTGAAGACAAGCAAATAAGTGTTATTTAAAAGTATAACAAAAGGGAAAATGATATGTTTATGCTACATGTATGAATAATGGAAAGTTCTTAGTTTTTAACAAAATTTTGCCTTCCTCATTGGCAAACTGAAAGAAAATTCTATCTTTTTCATTGTAACAGTTGGTTTGTCGGAGTTTAGGACCATATTTCCACTCTTAATCTGTACCTTGTCAAAAAATATTTAATCAAAATCACAAAAATCTAAACTTCACTCAATAAAAATCTACTGATACCTCTAGATTTATGCCCTATGACAGTTCCTGTTCCAAATCCATCTTGATCTCCCCACATCCAGTCTGGTCCCCTCCTGACTCTTAGACCAACCTCCATTTCACTCTCTTCATCAATTTCATTTCGTTGCTGTTCTCTGAGTCTCTGAATTTCTATTTCTTCTTCTGTTTCTTGAATTACCTTTGTGACTACTTCATTCTATTCACAATGTTATCTAATTAATTAACTTATCTAAAAATTTGTTTTTGAAGTCAGGGTATACTAAGGAGAAGTTCGACCAATTGAATAAAAACCAATTTTGATATTTCATACTTTTGTTTGTCAATTATGATCAATTATGCCAAGTCAACATAAAAGATTCAGATAAAGATATTTCCAAGATTCATCAAAGAAACAATTCCAGATTTATACTTAACATATAATTACGATAATTATACAAATTATACAAATTACATATACAAAGAGTATGAACTTAGAGTTACTACTGGTTTTACATGTTTGTTCTTATGTTGTTCTGTTACACTACAGTCTCCTCAAGGTCAGGGGGAGGTTTAAAAGCTCACAAACATGTTTAACGCTGCCATATTCTTCTTGTGCTTGTTCCAGGTCAGAGGAGGATTGAACTTTCAAAAACATGTATATCCCCCCAACATTCTATATGTGCCTGTCGCTAGTTAGGAGCCTGTAATTTAGTGGTAACGGTTGGTTGCTATCTGTCATTTGTGTTTTTGGTTCATTATTATAGTCATAAATCAGGCTGTCAGTTTTCTCGTTTGAACTGTTTCGCATTTTGTCATGTCAGAATCTTTTTTCTACCTTTCTATAAGGTATGAGTTCTTGTATGAATATCTTAACTCTTACCATCTCAACTTCAGATAACTCGCGTCCATTCTGTAGATTTCTAGCTAAGGCAGCTATTTCTTGTCTGTTTGTCCTGATATCTTCTGTTATTCCTTCATATCTTGTCTGGCTGATCATAACCTTGTAAATGTATGTATAACATTCATATGAGATATTTAATAGAAGTTACGTGTAATGAAACAACTAAAGATGTTGCTGTGTTTTTGCTATAAATCAAAATATATACATATTATAACCATGATATATTGTTGGAATTTGTTTTCACTTTTGTAGATAGAAAAGTATCTTGTTCAACTTAGCTTGTCTTTGTTTATATCTTTATGTCAACCAAAGACTTGTCTTGGTGTTGATGAGAGAATTCAGTTTTGGTGTTAAATATTCAAAAATAGGAAATAAAAAATACAATATAGCCCTTCCTTATTAAATGCATATCCAGAATATTTCCTTCACATATCTACCTCTAAATTTCATTTTTATTCTTTTTGTTTAGTTGGAGTGCTGTGCTTATTGACATCTACCTCACATCTATGTATTCTTACTTATGTATTAGCCACTGGACAGAATGTAACCAAAATGTTAGTTTATCCCAATTAATAGAAAGCTGTTGGAGTACGGGTAAATGTGTAGAATGGTTGAAGAATTCGAAAAAATACAGCGCTCTAAAATATACATACTAAAGGAACAAAAGAAGTAATAGATAATAAATGTGTAGTCTAGAACTTTTGATTTAAAATAAAATTTACAAATAATATTTTTCTCAACATTTATAAAATCTATAATGCCCTATATTTGTTGCATTAAAAGTTTCTTATTTAAGAAATGAATGCTTCTTTTTGTAATTTTATTGGGGTGTTAAAGTGTTGACCGAAGCACATTTTGTAAAAATTCTAAATATGTGTGCATGATCAACACTTTAACAACCCTATCAAATTACTAAAAGAAACATTCATTTCTTATAGTTACATTTTTATGCTTAAAGACCATGAAAAAAAAGTTTTATCAAGTTTTTCTTTTATTCACCTGTGCACTTTTTTGTGGAAGCACGTGTCATCACGAATGTAACATTTCATTTTGATATGAAGGTTAATTTTTGAATGACGCACAATTGTTGTTAGCCAATCAAACTAACGTATTGTCGTGAAACATACATGTAATGTAATTAATCAATAATGTACTATCAAATCTTTTAACCTTTTTCATAATCTTACCTCAACAAAGAATGACCTTGACAGATGTCTGACCTTGTCCAATGATGATACAACTCCACCAGTTGTTTCAGCTAGAATTTTCAGGACATCCTACAATAGGTGTTTAAAATTTTACTATAACAGCAGTTAAAAGGAAAGATTAATATATCCAATGGTCCCACATTTTATATCTTTTTATAAACTTCTGTAGTAATAACAAACAGGATAAGAAAAGAGACCTGCCAAAATTTCAGGTGAAAACTTCTGAATGTCAACAAGAATGCAAGAGAAAAATTAGTTTCGTAATTTTATTTCTGAATTTAGGAAGACAGATTTATATAAGAGCACTGCTCTTGTTTTCTTATCCCAATTATTGAATTACTTGTATATTTCGTATTTATGTATTTACCCTTGTAGCTGTAACATAATGAATTTGTTAATAAAATATGTTTACACTAACAGTACAGTTCAGTATCTAAATCTGTAAAATGAAGCAGTTTTTACAAATGATATTCATTAGATATACAAGGGAAATAATTCCAATTTATTTAAACGAGCAAAAATATTTGAATTGTCTTTAGTATGGAGAAACTTGGAAAAACTGCTATAATGATTTCAACAAAACTTACAACCCGAGCATCACTTCCAACAGGAACACATGTAATATGTCTGTTCTCTAACTTAACTCTCTCAGCAAAATCCTCTAATTTGTCTGAAATCTACAAAAAAAAAGTGGAAATCTATTACCAAGATCTTTAATATGATGCAAATTATTTTTATTTTATTCTGCTAAGTTAAACTGTCTAGTAAAGGGAAGCACACTGAATGCATGTGATACATCTGCAGTAAGTCAAATTAGGACTCTATTTTTTATCTCATTTTATTATTAGAGAGCTATATAGATTCTACCACTGCATTGAGTGTGATATGATATTTATCTATTCGAAACAGTTAAATTTTCAAATTTAAAATGCAATGCTTGCAAAGAGTTTTAAATATTTAAAATTTAACTGTCAAGAGTGGATATAAATATTGTATTGCATGAGATTTGGTGGTGGAATCTGTTTCTCTAATGATTTTTAGATAATTTGCAGACAATCTTAATCCTTCTTTTCGAACGACCTGCAAAAACATGTGTTCTTTTTATGTTACGTCATCAGGCATGGTCGCTTTTTTTCATGATGTCACAATAGGAATTTCAGAAGAAAAATTTGACGTCATAATCGAATTTTGACCAATGAAGAACTGAGATCAAACGAAGTACACGTTGATTTAATAAAAATAATCAACAGGTCAGGAAAAGGATAAATCAAGTAAGAATTAGAGAAACCTAACTATACTGCTGTATTTTTGAAAGTGTCTGTGAAGAACAAGTTATATGTCAATAAAATACAGTAAATTCCCACTTAACAAAGTCGTTACCATAAAAAAACAGCACCAAATTTGTTTGAGAAATGCAGTTGGGATTTTTGTAAAGAATATATGAAAAATATTGCATTTATAATATTTTAATTACAATTTTTCTATTTTCAATCAACATTTTAACCCTTGATGTTTGACTAGCAGGACAATGACACTATAGAGAATTTTGTATTGTCATGCAATAAAAAATGGTGTAACTAAAGAATTCTTTCCTTACTGATATTCCATTTGTTACTAAAATCTGCACATACCATCAATATTGCAAAATTTTTCATAAATCAAGAATATTTTACCAGAAAATATACTTCTCAAACATCGGATCAGCTGAACAAAATAGTCAAAGACTGTTATAAAAAAGATTTGTAAAGGCAAACTCTACACAAAAATTATGTAAAATTAGCAGGTTGTTTTCTTATAGAATTCAAATTTCTTAAAGTTTTGAAAATAACAGCAAATTTACCATTTCCCATGATAGTCCATTAGGCTGTAACATATCTTGTCCTTCAAAAATCCTGTGGTCAGTGGCTTTACCATCAGACAATAATATAACACGTGGATTTATCTGTCTATCATGTACAGTCACTGGTCCACCTAAAAATTAAGAATTAAAAACTTGTATATCTATAGTTATAGGTCATTGAAATATAGCTACGGACGGTTTTCCTGAATAATCAGCCCTAAAAAGGTATTGCCAAAATAACCAGCATTTGAAAACAATCACTTTGATAAACTCCACATTCTGCTAGAAATCTCTTATTAGAAATATTTTTATAGGGGTCTTTTTTGTCTACTCTGTAATTTACACAACCCTTTCTTCAAGTTGACTAGAATTTGGTAGGCGCTTTCTTGAATTTGCCTTGAGATGAATCCGTATTCTTAATATTCAGCACATTGTGGTAACTTCCAATGTGTTCAGAAGTGTTTTTCTGCTACTTTTCAATGAAGTTCAAGGATTTTCTTTCATGTCTGACCTAGACCTATATTATGCTCATCTTTCCCAACTCCCTATTTATTTTCAACATATTTCATAATTTTTTAATATAGAAACTGCAAAACAAATAATTAAAAGATGCTTTTTTTAAATTTAACAAGAATTCTTTGTATTTTCTGATAACTGTAGTCTTTTGATTATCTCCCCTTCAGCATACCTCTGTTGAACAAAGCACTCATTGCAACTACCAAGCCAGTCATCATTGGGGTTGGACCACCACACTTCATTCTCTCTGAAAATATAATTAAAAATAATTCTTATCAAATAATTCTATCAACATGGCTATTTGAAAAAGTTGCAAATTAATCAATTTGTAGCTAATCCAAATATTTCTGGACGATGTTCAATATTTTGTTGGTGATTTGATGTCTCTTTCTGATACCGATTACACATATATAATGATTTATACATTTCCTTTCCTTGCCTTCTTTTTTTTGTTCCCAATATTCAATTTTAGTTCAGTTATGATACCTTAGTAAATGTTACATTACTGTGAAGATATTAGAGTTTACGATAAAATATTAAATGACAAATCTTATAAGTAACTGCATGTAAAAAAATGGAGAAAATAATGCCATAATTTGGGGCCTGTCTATTGTTGAAGGCAATATTTTGAAATCTACATGTCTATTTTTGTCAAATTTAATCTTCATTACTGTATTCATATTAAATTCAATATATTGGGATCAAAAAAGGAACTGTTTTGTAAATCTAATTGTTTTTACTAGAAATAATAAAATGCTTCACTGAGCGCAGCCTGATACAACTGCAGAGATGGAATCCTGAACAGTTGGGGCAAATTTGGACACAATATTCAAGCTTGATACTGTCTGAATTTGGATTGTGATCAAGTTTTTGACATAATATAGGTTTCTGACACAAAATAAATGTGGTCAAAGATCTTATAAATCCATTGCGCAATACTGTGCAATTGAAGATTTCTTCTTGAAACTTTTCAAAAATTCGAAATTCGAAAAATTTGAAAAACAAATATGAATCCCTTAAAAAAAATTTGGAAAAAAATCCCCCCCCCCAACTTTTTGAAACCCCCCTTGGAGCAATAACCCCAAAACTCAATCCCAGCCTCTCCTTTGTAGTATGGAACCTTGTAGTACAATTTCAGAGATATCCATACACTTACACACAAGTTATTGTCTGGAAACTAGAAAAATGCTAGTTTTTAGTCCTTTTTTGGCCCCTGATTCCTACATGTTTTGGGCAATTAACCCCAAACTAAATCCCAGCCTTCCCTTTGTTATATGGAGCCTTGTGGTACAATGTCAGAGAGATCTATACACTTACACACAAGTTATTGTCTGGAAACTAGAAAAATGCTTGTTTTTGGTCCCTTTTTGGCCCTTAATTCCTAAACTGTTGGCTCCCATAACCCCTTAAATGAATCCCAACCTTCTACTTGTGGTATTAAACATTGTGGTACAATTTCAGAGCAATCAAAATACTTATACACAAGTTATTATCCTGAAACTAGAAAAATGCTTATTTTGGGCCCCTTTTTGGGCCCCTCATTCCTAAACGGTCGGGACCATCATCCTCAAAATCAATCCCAACCTTCCTTTTGTGGTATCGAACCTTCTTGAAAAATTTCATAGAGATCCATTCACTTAAACTAAAGTTATTTGTCAGGAAACCAATGTGTCTTCGGACGACATCATACCATTATACAATCCCAAAATTTTTTTTGCAGTCGTATAAAAAAAAGGACAACACAAATTATCTTAATTTGGCTTCCCAAAATTTCTTAATAAATGTATCTTACCAACAGCTTCCCTGACTTTATTATAATCATTTGTTAACTGTTGTAATATTCTAGCCTCACTTCCAAAGTGTACAATGGCTACGTTTTCTTCTATTGTATATTCAGTTGCCCATTCTTCAATGTCTGAAATAAACCGTTAGTTTGTTTTAATGCCAGACCTTTAAATGTTCTATCCAAGTAACTTATTCTGAAAGCTTAGATTAGAAAAAATGGAAAAAAAACGCAACAAATCTTAAAAGTCAGGAACTAGCTGTTAAAAAGTTTCAGATGATTTTAAGCAAAATGTGAATTTCATCATATATGGAAAATTCATTTTAACCATTTTTGTTCTATTTCTGACTCTGAAACAACTCTGTTGCACTTCACAACCAATTTCGTACATTCATTCATTCATTCACTTGTTTGTTTGTTTGTTTGTTTGTTTGTTTTGTTGTTCATTTGTTTGTACTTTGTTTTATTGCTTGCATGTTTGTTGGTATGTTCCTAATTGTCCATACATTTATCTGTTTAATAATTCTGGTTTTTTTTCACCCATCCCTACATTCATTCAGTCAGTCAGATTAAATGTACTTCACTGAAGTATCTCCTAATTTCATTTATTTAAAAAATACAAATACCTTGACAGATCTTTCAAAAAAGTCAATATGATTGCATTAACTTTAACTAACTAAAGTTTTTGAATTGTTTAACACTAGTCATTTTGGGGCCCTTTATAGCTTGCTGTTCAGTGTGAGCCAAGGCTCCGTGTTGAAGGCCGTACCTTGACCTATAATTGTTTACTTTTTACACATTATGACTTGGATGGAGAGTTGTCTCATTGGAACTCATACCACATCTTCTTATTTATAGTTATAAATATTAACATGGCTAAAACAGGATTCTCTACATTCTGTAAAACAAATTATCCAAATACTAAAGGAAACTTACAATCAACAAACTGATTGACAAAATTAACACAAGCCTTAAAAGATTCTCCCGTCATACTCTCTGATGTATCAATACATATCACTGTGTCAGCTCCTGTTGATTTGGGATCTAAACAATCTCTTGCTGTTAAAATAAAAAATTAAACATACTAATTTATTTATATGACCAATTCATCCCCCCACATTAGATGGTATTTTTCTTAAATGAAGAAACTCGAACCCCCATATTTGACCACATGATAGATAGAAAGACAAAGTGTGAGAAAAACATGTACAACTTAAAGCTTTTGTAAACTTTAGATTAATATTTGAATAATTATAGTTTAAAAGTTTCTATTTATGCTATTGATGCTGTCATACTTTAAATATATTCAATATAATTATTACAACTTTTCTCAAATAGTAACATAGTTCAGTATGGTGTTGATGCCTCAAAAATTTTAAGTGTTTGCTTAATGTTAAAACCTTGTTCTTACTGATGAACAATACTGTAAATTCAGAAATTATTGCGTGCATTTATCATTGTGATTTTTGAAGAATTAACAAAAATGCGAGTTTAATTATTGCGATTTTAGGAAAAGCTACATACAGATGTATGTATTTGATATCAGAATGCGAGTTCTTATTATAGCGATACTCAAGTACGACAACAAGGGGGGTTTTTAACGACCTTGGCTTCCATGAAGGTCTTGCACGGTCCGCTAAAAAATTAACTAAAGAAGAAAATGTCTACAACACCCTGTTTTCCCAGGCTGTCACCCATCCAAGTACTAACCGAGCTCGATGTTGCTTAACTTCGGTGATCGGACGAGAACCAGTGTTTTCAACATGATATGGTCGTAGACTATAGTAGTTGAATTATTCGCATTAATAAAAACCTCGCAATAATTTCTGAATTTACAACATTAGAACAATATATATAAAAAAAAATGTGACATGATTTTTTATTGACAAGTATCCATAGACAAAGAGAAAAATATTTGAATAATTACAGGTCATCAAACCATGGACATATGGCCTAAAGCATGCGGATATTTGAGAAGTATTAAGTTGTTATTTTCTGTTTCTCAATATCATGATTAATAGAAGATTTGATTTAATACGGTCAAAAGTACCAGGTACATCAACAAAATTCTCATGTTATCTGTAACTACTTTTAATATGATTATTAGGTAAAAATTCTACCTATAGGAAATATTCAAACGCCAAGATATAAAGAACAATGGTATGTTTGTTTTTTATCCTGACTTTATTTGCATGAATATCAAGCAAGCTGATATTGGAGCTGATGAAGTCAGTAAAATGCCATTTTTCTTTTTATGGGCAATTTGTCCTAACAATATTTTTCCATAGGTAGAATATGAAATATCATGAAATAGTTACAAAAAATATTTTTATGCTTTCAAAACTTTTTGATAGGTGTTACTTGTATGAACGGATGTCGCACGCATTTCATTGATAAATTGATGTGGATTGAAATCATAAAACTTGACATTGCTGCATTGCTACATGATGTTTAATATATAATGCCTAATATTTTTGAGTATCAAGTAGTGACAGTAAAATAAAAAATATACGCTGAGAAGAATCAAAGAAAAACTGAACAAATTACAGATAAAATAAAATATCATGCTTAATAGTCAATATATATGGTACAAAGCAAAATCTTACCCTTAAAGTTTTCAGACAAGGCTAACTGTTCCAGGAACTGGTCTTCCTTAGGTCTGGGATACTTCATGTCATCTGGAAAGTCTAAAATAACACTGGTATTTGCACTGGTTGTTGATCATACAGTCATTAATAAATGGAAGAAAAATTTCTGATCAAATACAATTTGAAACCAGCTTAAAAGTTAAGGCCTATTGTCATTATTAAATTTTTTTCTTGGTCAAAGTTTTTGATTGATTTTTTTATAGTGACAACTGTGAAAGAAACTTTGATCAAAAACTTTGACGGACTTGGATGGGATATAATCTATTTTTCTTGAAACTTGGATGTTTTTTTGACTAACTTTTTGATGAAAAGTTTTGATAGTGACAACCAATGACTTAGACCAAGTTTTCTTTGTCCAAGTTAACTTTGATAGTGACAAAATGACCAGGCTTTATTGTCTACAGAAATGCATGGAAATCTAAATTCAAAATTCCTTTACAATTATTCTATTTTCAAAAATATCATTCTTAAAAGATCTTTAAAGTCCTATCATTAATGTTTTTAACCAATGTAAATTATTTTAATTTCATAAAAGTTTTTTCTCAAAAAAAAAAATGTAAAGAATAAAGGTTTAGTAGCTGCAGTGACCATGGTGACAGTCTTTATTTAAAACTCGTTATTTGATTTTCCTATTTTCAATAAATTCATTCAGAAAAGACAATGATAAAAATAAAAACAAATTTTAATAAAGAGCATTATTACTTATCAATTTATCACTTTGGATCTTCTGTCAGAAAGAAAAACTAGAGGCTCTAAAGAGCCTGTGTCGCTCACCTTGGTCTATGTGCATATTAAGCAAAGGACACAGATGGATTCATGTCAAAATTGTGTTTTGGTGATGGTGATATGTTTGTAGATCTTACTTTACTGAACATTCTTACTGCTTACAATTATCTCTATCTATAATGAACTTGGCCCAGTAGTCACAGTGGAAAATATTTTGTAAAAATTTACAAAAATTTACAAAATTTATGAAAATTGTAAAAAATTGACTATAAAGGGCAATAACTCCTTAAGGGGTCAATTGACAATTTTGGTCAAGTTGACTTATTTGTAGATCTTACTTTGCTGTACATTATTGCTGTTTACAGTTTATCTCTATCTATAATAATATTCAAGATAATAACCAAAAGCTGCAAAATTTTCTTAAAATTACCAATTCAGGGGCAGCAACCCAACAACGTGTTGCCTGATTGGTCTGAAAATTTCAGGGCAGATAGATCCTGACCTAATGAACAATTTTATTCCGTCAGATTTGCTCTAAATGCTTTGGTTTCAGAGATATGAGCCAAAAACTGCATTTTACCCTATGTACTATTTTTTAGCCATGTCGGCCATCTTGGTTCACGGGCGGGGTCATCGGACACATTTTTTAAACTAGATATCCTAATGATGATTGTGGACAAGTTTGGTTAAATTTGTCTTAGTAGTTTCAGAGGAGAAGATTTTTGTAAAAGATTACAAAAATTTACGAAAAATGGTTAAAAATTGACTATAAAGGGCATTAACTCCTTAAGGGGTCAACTGATCATTTTGGTCAAGTTGACTTATTTGTAGATCTTACTTTGCTGAACATTATTGCTGTTTACAGTTTATCTCTATCTATAATAATATTCAAGATAATAACCAAAAACGGCAAAATTTCCTTAAAATAACCAATTCAGGGGCAGCAACCCAACAATGGGTTGTCCGATTCATCTGAAAATTTCAAGGCAGATAGATCTTGACCTGATTTACAATTTTACCCTGTCAGATTTGCTCTAAATGCTTTGGTTTCAGAGATATAAGCCAAAATCTATATTTACCCCTATGTTCTATTTTTAGCCATGGCGACCATCTTGGTTGGTTGGCCAGGTCACCGGACACATTTTTAAAACTAGATACCCCAATGATGATTGTGGCCAAGTTTGGTTTAATTTGTCTTAGTAGTTTCAGAGGAGAAGATTTTTGTAAAAGATTACAAAAATTTACGAAAAATGGTTAAAAATTGACTATAAAGGGCAATAACTCCTTAAGGGGTCAACTGTCCATTTTGGTCATGTTGACTTATTTGTAGATCTTACTTTGCTGAACATTATTGCTGTTTATAGTTTATCTCTATCTATAATAATATTCAAGATAATAACCAAAAACGGCAAAATTTCCTTAAAATAACCAATTCAGGGGCAGCAACCCAACAACGGGTTGTCCAATTCATCTGAAAATTTCAGAGCAGATAGATCTTGACCTGATTAACAATTTTACCAGAGTCAGATTTGCTCTAAATGCTTTGGTTTCAGAGATATAAGCCAAAATCTACATTTTACCCCTATGTTCTATTTTTAGCCACGGCAGCCATCTTGGTTGGTTGGCCGGCTCACCGTACACATTTTTCAAACTAGATACCCCAATGATGATTGTGGCCAAGTTTGGTTTAATTTGGCTAAGTAGTTTCAGAGGAGAAGATTTTTGTAAAAGTTAACGACGACGGACGACGACAGAAGACGACGGACAACGGACGCCAAGTGATGAGAAAAGCTCACTTGGCCCTTTGGGCCAGGTGAGCTAAAAATATAATGAACTGTTAAAGGGGAGATAACTCAAAATTTTAAATACCTGGATATGTTTCTCTAGGCATTTCACTTTTGCTGAAAAATACAATTTATATACTAGCATATAATATATATCATTTAAGTGTAAATCAAAATCTCTTCACTTGTATGAATTCTAAAACAGAAATGTGCCAGTTTTTTGCAAGATTGAACAGTATCATGATATTTATATGTTTTGTTTCAAATTTGGGAGATATATTATGGAACTGCAAGAATAATTTTTACTTTTTCATTGGAGGGAATGGTCAGGTAAATTGACTGAAAGAAAATCATGATATATGATTTGGATAATTATGATAAATTCTGACATTGCTGCATAATATCAGTGGCAGTCTATCCCATGTCTAAAAGTTACTTATGTATAAATTGTTACAAATATAAAATTAAAACATAGGCTTTAATGCAAAATTTGTTAAAAACAGGAAAATCAAGTATCTACAAGCATAATATTTTTCACCCAATTCAATAAATGATTCCACAGAATTGGTTTTTATCATCTTTGAAGACCTTCCAGCAATGCTTAAATCAAATGAATGTTCCTTAAACAGGTTAACGTCGAGTGGCAATTATTTCATGCATATTCAGAAGGAGCAATATCTTTTTGGGGCCTTTTATAGATTGCTATACAGTTTGGGTTTTGCTCATTGGTCAAGGCTGTACTATGACCTATAGTTGCTAACCTTCTACATAATGGTCCTTGGCAACCATACCACATCTTCTTATTTTTGTATTAGATGATTTTAATGAATTTCAAACAAAAAGTAAGAAATAGAAATGATACAACTATTGAGTAAAATAACTAAATTTACCCTGGAATAAACTCTTCTTTCATATCAGTGACTATCTTTGGACTTTTAGGTCGAGGCTGAGGTCTGACTATGGCAACAGGCTCTACTTCTGTGTCTGAATCTTCCTGGTCACTTTGCATATTAGAATGACTTAGTCTATTATCATCAGAATTATCAGTCTTTTTACACTTATATTGTCGACCTGACATTAAACTCATAGGGCCTGTTGCAACTTCAACAGTCTTTTTTTGTACTGGAGCAGGTACTGGTAGTGACTGGACATTAGGTTTTTCCTGTTTAAAAGTTATATGTGTTGTATCTGCTGCTGTTTCTTTTATTGAGTCTTTCCCTCCATACACAGGCACAGCTTTATTTTGACTTCCTGGGGGATATATTTCGTCTGTTTGTGGTATTGAGGCAAGTGGCCGAGTGGATTCAGCTACTGATCGCTGACCTCCATTATCCATTGATACTAATGAACTTGGTTCATTATTAATTGTATTTTCTGCAAGGCTTTGTCCATGACTAGTATCTACTGTTCTTTTATAAGTATTCTGGTCACCGTTTCCACTGATATGTTGATCATATTTAAAAGGCTGTTCATAGCTTCGAGTTATATGGGGTGTTTCTTCTTCTGAGTCAATATCATCTTCAGGTACATATCTGATTGGTTGGTTCTTTACAGTATTTACGTCTGACTGTACATTATCAAGAACGCTGCGTAGTTCATTATTCTGGGTTATCATATATTCCACTTTTGTGTTTATGCTATTTATCAGTCCAGCAAATCCTCTGATTTCTCTTATCTGTTAAATGATAATAAACATTTAAACATTTTGTAAAATACTGACTTTTTGGTCTTTCACAAGCAAAATAGCAAAATAATAAGATATCAAGACAAAACAAAGGGGATGGGGATTTCAAAATCAGTAGTCAATAAACTACTTCGCTGAGCGCAGCTAGATACGCCCGCAGAGGTCCAACCCTGAACAGTTGGGGCAAAAATGGACACAATATTCAAGCTTGATTCAGGTCTGAATTTGGATTGTAATTAAATATTTGACATATCATAGGTTTCTGAATAAATGTAGTCAAAAATTTTGAAATTGGTTATATGAATTGAATTTATATTCAATTAAAGATTTCTTGCTGTGTTGTGCAATACTTAGTAAATCTGTTGTCAGACTATAAACAAATAAAGTTCAATTAATTCTCAATGTCATATTAGAAATTTATGAAAATAAAAAGAGAGCTTACATCAATAGATATAAACAATTCACCAAAGTTTCATGAGAATTGGTGACAGCATTTTTGAGTTATTGTCTGAAAACTGGAAAATCACCCCTTCTTTTAATGAATAAAACCCAATAACTCAGAAATGTAAAATCTAAAATTTATAAAAATCGAAAGGGAGCTCATGTCAATAGATATACACAATTCACCACATTTTCTTGCAAGTTGGTGAAAGCATTGTCGGAAAATGGAAAATCCCCCTTTTTTTAATGAATAAAACCCCATAACTCGGAAACGTAAAATCTAAATTTTATAAAAAACAAAAGGGAGCTCACATCAATAGATATAAACAATTCACCAAAGTTTTATGCAAATTGGTTAAAGTATTTTTGAGTTAATGTCCGACATGTTGACGACGGACAGACGGACAACGGTATACCATAATACGTCCTGTAAACTGGCGTATAAAAATAGGATGGAAAACACCGTGACCAAAAGATAAAAAGAACTGTGTTCAAACAATATCTGAGAAAACCAAAAAGTGAGAAAAAAATGAAACATCAAAATTATGGGGTGAATTAAGATGCTCCCAAATGAAAAGAGGTTCCTGCTCCTACTAATGGTACCCAGGATTGTATGCAACTAAAAATGTACAGCTAGTGACTAGTATTAAATTGTATTTTGTCATATTCAAATAATTTCTTCAGGAAGATTTTGCTTCCTAATTGTTGATTCATTGTTTAAGATTGAGTAAATAATAATTACATTAAATGTATGTTGCATTAAAATACGTTATTTTGATTGGCTAACAGCAATCTAGGTCATTCTGAAATTAACCTTCATTTCAAAATGAAATGTAACATTCATGATGACACGAGCTTCCACAATAAAGTGCACAGGTAAATAAAAGAAACACTTGATAGAAATCGTGTTTTCATGCCAAAAAATGTAATTATAAGTATTGAATGCTTCTTTTAGTAATTTTATAGGGTTGTAAAAGCGTTGACCGTTTGCACATTTTTAGAATGAAGATCAGAAATACAAAATGTACTTCGGTCAACGCTTTTACACCCCAATAAATTTACAAAAAGAAGCATTCAATTGTTAAGTAAAAAACTATTCATTTAGCAATTGATGATTGCCTGATCATGCACATATCTCAGGTTTTGAATGTTTATTTGACTCTTTCCTGATCCTTTTAGAGCTATTTTCCTAATGCTTGTAATTTAAAGGTTTGGTTGGCTTGCTTGCATTGTGTTTGTATAAATAAATGTTTGCTCAAGCATTGTAATTAAGGTTGACATTTGCAATCATCAGATAGGCGGGGTTCAGCTTGTATACATTATACAAATAAATGTTATTGGATGTTAAGTATAATGTATACAAGCTGAAGCCCCGCCTATCTATTGATTGCAGATGTCAATCTTAATTACAATGCTTGAGCAAAATTTATACAAACAAAGCAAGCAAGCCAACCAAACCTTTAAGCTACAAGCATTAGGAAAATAGCTCTTAATCTATTTAGCTCTGTAACATTTGCTTCAGGTGTCATATCGTAAATTTTTCCTGGTTCATTTAACGAAAACTATTTGTTGGTTTCTATAGTAACTCTGAAGGAATATTCTTTGAAACACACATCTGGTGCACCAAATTTGATATGATTTTATGTTATTACTCAAATATAACATTAACCATGTCTACATTTTTATTCAATTCCAAAATTTTCTTGCACCTATATCACTGCATTAATTGTAATCCATATTTGTACTAATTTTTTTATAAAAATCTATGGAACTATCAACCATGCACACAAGTGAAAAAATTTCATTATAAATATGAAAATTAATAGAGATGTGGTATGATTGCCAACTATCTACAAGAGACCAAAAGACATAGAATAATTTATTACAAAAATAAAATTAAAATTACACCACATATTGAACTTTGCTTTAATTACCTTATGTTTTCCGACTTGAGCTATAGAGATTTTTCAACAAATGTTAAGACAAAGGATACCAATTTTATTACAAAGCATTTCATAGCTTTTTAATCTCTTGTCTGTGCCAAATATTTTCCTAAATGTACTTAATATTGATCTATATATCCAAAAAGTAAATTGCATTTGTGTCTAACTGATAAACTTCTTGAAAAAAATGATCATACCTCCTGTAATATCTCAAACACTTGACTAGCTAAGTACTGAACTTGCTCTGAGGTACTGTAATTAGGTGGTTCCATAACAGGAGGCCCCATTGGTGTTGTAAATTGGTTCCTGGTTTGAAATGGGCCACTCATATCAGGCATATGGTTTGGTATACCAGCATACTGTTGTTGAAACCCTGCTGAGTACATATTCTGACCACCTGATTGAAACTGTTTTTGCCGAACTGCTGGGGTTTCCTGGAATTGGTTTGTGATTTGTTGACTGATTCCACTAGATGGGTATTTTTGGCTCATGGCATGTGTATCCTTTGAAGGTTTAGAAATTCTTGGGGTAGTAAATGATTTAGCTCTGACATCCTCCTCTAATTAAACAATAAATAAAAAAATCTAAAAAATACTCCACTAGTTAGAATTTTGCTGCCACCAAAATATTTTGTTTTATGCAAAAACAATACAGAAAAATGTCTATATGGTATTCTTATTATCATCAGTTAAAATTTATTATCCTAAAATATATTCATTTTATTTTTAATTGAAGTGGGTTATATAGGCAATATTTCAATTTAATTTTTACTGCTTTTTTAAATGAACTGTTTCTTGGGTGAAAGCGAATTTTAAGCTCTGTAATTTCTTACTAACACATTATTATGCACTATAAAAAAAAGCACCATAGTAATGACGCACTTACCTCCTGAATGGTCCCCATTTATATTCTTGTAATTGGTTGCCATGACAATATTTTTTTCACTTCGCTTCACTTCACTGGAAAAGATACAAAAAAATTATATTTTTAATCGTCAACAGCTAAGTACATGTACATTTGTAATACATTAGCTATGAATCAAAGCAGTCTTGCAACTAACTACTTTTTTAAAAACTTGTGTGTTTTGCATTCACACTGCATACAGTGCCGAAGATCAAATTTAAATCTTATCACAATAAGTTCCACATGTACATTTCCAGGGTATATTGAGTTCATCCTGTTTAGGATGTGGTTCATGTTTATCCTAATCATGAGGTTTCTGTATATTGTTTCTTGGACTGTTAGTTTTCAGGTTTTTTTTGTTGTAATTTTTTTTTTTAATTCTTCATGGTTTTGTCTGTAATTCTTCCATTTTGGGGTTTGTATTGCCTCCTTCGTATTTTCTTTCTTTTCTTTCACTTAGCCTATTAAGCAGTATTTATAAGTGCAATAATTAAATACATAAAGATATGCAAATTTATTCAAATTATTTCTTCTGTGCAATTTTTGCATAAGATAGTTTTTATAGCTTCAAAAGTAAGGCAGATTAGCTATTTAAATGCATTTCATTGGTTTTTTTCTTCTTAAAACCCTACAAAAAAGTAAATTTAATTGTGATATAAAAATGCAATGGGTAAAACTGACACACACATAAAAAGATGTGTTGGTCAATGCACTTAACTTAAGCTTCTAATGTTGTCTGAAACAACAACTACTGCTCTCTAAGTCAGTTAAATGTTAAAGTTTTCATGATCAGTGCAAATGCAATCATGATGTCACAGTAATATCATTAATGATAAGATGTCTTAAACTTTTTTGATTTTGTATTTATCACACACTTTATGAAGTTTTTTTATCCAATCGTTAGGTGCACTAAACCAACAACTAAAGGATAATGTTTGATAAGGCCCCAATAGGGCTGCCTTTTCTACCCTAATTTTCAAATAAGGATTTTATGGCCGCATTTTCCAGCTTAATTTTCAAATTAGGATTTAATGGCCATTATCACAATGTAGCTTTCAAAATTACTATATCTGGGATAGGTATTTTTGTTTTGAAATTTACATATCAGCATTCTTTTAATATAAAGGGATAATAATTATAAATAAGAGGATTTGGTATGAGTGCCAGTGAGACAACTCTCCATCCAAGTCACAATGTATAAAAAGTTAACAATTATAGGTCAAAGTACGGCCTTCAACACGGAGCCTTGGCTCACACAGAACAGCAAGCTATAAAGGGCCCCAAAATGACTAGTGTAAAAAACTTCAAACAGGAAATCCAACGGTCTAATCTATATAAAATAAATGGGGAATGTGTCCATGGGACACAGATGATGCCCCCACTTGCATATCATATAAAGTTATAAAGGGACATAACTGAAGAACGGTAAAAGTGATGCTACCCAAATTTGTAATTGATCTGAGTTTTGTGGTAATAAGCATTGTGTGTAAGTTTCATAAAATTTGGTTGAGGCTAACTTAAGTAAGAGAACAGAAACCAAAAATTCAGCAATTTTTCCATTTGTAAAGGGGCATCACTCTAGAACGGTTAAAGTGACACCACCAAAATTCAAACTTGATCTGTATTGTGTGGTAATAAGCATTGTGTATAAGTTTGTTAACATTTGGTTGAGGCAAACTAAAGTGAGAGAACGGAAATGAAAAATTCAGCAATTTTTCCATTTGTTAAGGGGCATAACTCTAGAACCGTTAAAGTGGCGCTACCAAAATTCAAACTTGATCTGTGTTTTGTGTTAATAAGCATTGTGTATAAGTTTCATAACATTTGGTTGAGGTTAACTAAAGTTAAAGAACAGAAACGAAAATTCAGCAATTTTTCCATTTGTAAAGGGGCATAACTCTAGAACAGTTAAAGTGACGCCCCCAAAATTGAAACTTGATCTGTGTTTTGTGGTAATAAGCATTGTGTATAAGTTTCATAACATTTATTTGAGGCATAAAGTTAGAGAACAGAAACCAACTTTGGGACGATTGTACATACATACGTACAGACGGACAAGGGTAAAACTTAATGCCCCCTCCGCTACGGCGGGGGCATGAAAACAAGAAACACTTATGAACCACGACAACCACTGAACAACAGGCTCCTGACTTAGGACAGGTGCATAAAAATGCAGTGGATTAAAACGTTTTAACAGGCACCAACCAGTTCACCTAACTCTTTATTTTCTATCAAATTCAATGAAAACATGCAAATGTAATATATAGTTTGTCAAACAATGCGCTGGTTGGTTGTCACATGAAAAGCTTTGTAAGAAATACTTGACAAAATCGTCCTGTTTCACATTCTTACACATATATACATCAACTTGAAACACTTATAACCTTTAAATAATAAACATAATTTTGGGGCCAAAAAGGGCCATAAATATAAAAAAAAAAAAGTTCTTTCAGGGCCCCAATATTGACCTTTTGGGAGCCTTAGTTAAACTTCATTGCTTTCAAAAAAGTTACAAACTATATTAAGTATCACAGCAACCCCCATTCCCCCTACCAAATCAATTTGAGTTTTCAACCATTTTTTTTTTATTTGTGCCTTTTTGGGCTTCTTGCTGTCAAAACAGCATATATATATTCATTAATTTTGTCACAGATAACATGGGAGAAAAGGGGGAGGGTTGAACAAGTGTAAACCTGTGAGATGGAAATTATATATATGAAACAAACATAAGATTTACTTTAATTTGTACTCGAAAACATAAAATTTAAATCCATCTTGTGCTTAAGTAGTGGTCTTGCATATAAATTTTGAAATAAATTCAAATGATATATAAAACATCTGAGACTACTATATAACAGTAGTCTCAGAAAATATATACAAATTTTGCATCCAAATTTACCTACCATAATCTACATCATCCTTGAGGAAAAAATATTTCATATAAGGAAGTTTACTTATACACTGTAACAGTGATACAAGTGCAACTTAAAATTATCTTCTTTCGTAGTTGATAGTATAGGCAAACAGAAAGTTATTATGTAAATGCACGAAGAAGATAATATCATTATAGAATCGGTTATTTTTTGTATTCTAGTAAACAAATTAACACTACTAATTACTTTACCAAAACTTCACACCATTATTCCTTGTGTCTGTCTTAAATTCCTCTTAAATTCTTTCCTGTGTACAAGCGAAAATGGGAAGTAGAACAGAATTTCCCGTTTCTAAATATAGAAAATCTCGTCACGTGATAAATTCTACTAGAAGTTGAGTGTAGTTACAAAATAGATTGAATTTTTCTTCATCAGTGGTATTTTTTTTTTAAATAAATCAGGTCACATTATATATAATTTTATAGACCAGAAAGTTAATTGGTCTTTAAAGTAAAAAAAAATGACAAATCCCAGACTATATGTATTTTGACCTATATTGGTTTACTTTTATAAATTTTGACTTGGATATTGGCACCCATACCACATCTTCTTATATCTATATACAAGTGTGGACACGAATCAGTGTGGATAGTATGTTTGGATGTTTTGACAGTGTTTTCTGATAAAAAGAGTTCTCTGTTTTTCCCATAGGGTTCTATGTTAAACTGTTGCACAGTGACAGCCAACCTGTACCAAGCACTAAAAATTAGCAGTGTCGTTTATTGACCCCCCACCCCCCTCTTTATTTAATGATCAAGATTCAGGTCATGGGGGTGACATAATTGCATGGAATACCAAGTGATTTCCACAACTTTGGATAGCAGCAAAACCTCAAAATTAGGAGAGGAACACATTAGGCGCATTCCTGCATTATGTGATTTTAATATGCGAGATGGTATCTGAGAAACTGCATGCATGTTACATTTGTATGGTTCTATTAATGTTTCTTTGTGGTGGTCATTTCTTACTTGAGTTTGTCCACAAAAACTGAAAATTAGTATTTGTATTATTAAATGTATTATGATCGACTCTTACCATTTTATAGTACCTGATAAAGGTATATCCAGAAATGCGATTCACACGCATAAAATTGATAGTTTTACAACTGAGCACTTGATCGATGGCGATACCTCTGCTGGTGGACTATTAGTCCCGAGGGTATATCATCAGCTCAGTAATCAGTGTTTAATCAATTGGATTTGGTTATTACTTTTAGATCCTTTTGGTCCCATAGCTCTTCATTTTTTTTGGCGTTGAGCGTTCCTGATAAAGGTAAATTAAATCATGAAAAGCGCTTCGGACGCATACAATTAATAGTCTTATTTTCATTTATACTATTCCCAGAGTGACCAGAGATATCATGATAACACATAATAGAAAATATGTTCATATTGTTAGAAGGACATTAATACTGAGTATGAACAACGCACAGAGTACTGTACAAAATAAGGAGAAGTGGTATGATTGGCAATCGGAGAAAATTATCCGCCAGAATCCAAATGAAATGGATCTAAGCAGCTATGTGTAACCGTATGGCCTTCAACAACAAGCAAAACTGATATCGTATATATTGTAAGCTATAAAAGGTCCCGACATGACTAAATGTAGACCCATTCAAACGGAAAAGGCAATGGCCTGATTTATGACAAAACAATAAGCGAAAAAAAAACACAAATATGACACAGAGCAACGAACGCTAAACCACTGATTTACAACAGAGACATGGGTCTCTTCCTACAGGCTCCTGGCAACAAACATCATACTTATTGACTCGGTTATTCAGTGAATTGAAAGTTGCAAAAAGTGAACGTCATATATTTTTTTAATTGGAATGAAATTACAAGTAAATGAAATAGTCATGATTTAAACAAATAATATCTTTAAAAAAGATATCTCACGCATTCAGATGTGAGCATACAATTTAAAACAAACCATGAATCTTTATCAGGTTTTTTTTATCATAGTTAAAAAAAAATGCACACAATTTGACGGATATAAAGCCTGACGATTCTGAAAGTTTAGTATGTGCGTTTTTCTCTAAAGAATTAAAATATACACTGGTACTTAACTAAAGTGTATATAGGTAGGTATTTTTTCAGAGATAAAGAAGTATCTAGCTGTGAAATAGACATAAACATAAGATATAATTAGGTTACAATCTGTAATGAATACAGTTTAGAAGAATGGTCAATTATAACTATATGTCAAGCAAAACTTTCACAATTAAAAATACAACCTATTTCGGTATATGATACAGCTTTTGACAAGTTATTAAATTTGCGCTATATGTTTTTTTTTGACATTCTTCATTTGAAGTATAATATTTTGTACTTTTTGAGATTATTATTACGCCTTGGAAATTTTAGACTGCACTTGCAAGTACACACAGTTGATAAGATATATTTATTGGCTTGAGCTATTAATAGCCCATTTGACCAGCATTAGTTTCAGTAATATATCTAATGAACCTGTCAGTGATATTTACCTAATCCAAACAATTTGACAGCGGTGATAAGGATAACTTCTTTAAATGAATTTATCTTATTTATATATATGGATAGTTTTATTTTATGTCCGTAATGTTTTCCTTCATGCTATATATCTTTATTTGTTGGTTTTTGTTCAATTCCGTAATTTCGTCCAATCAGAGTTAAGAATGGTGACATCATGCATACCTTTACCATAGTTAAGCGTCCTTAGGCCACACACCAAAATTGTTACTGACTGCGTCTTGTTCAACTCCGTACTTTCTTCCAATCAGAGTAAAGATTGGTGCCATCATGCATGCCATTACCATAGTTAAGCGTCCTTAGGTCACACACCAAAATTATTACTGACTGGGTCAGTAAAACGACCATCATCAGAGTTTATTGACGACCTTTGATAGATTATAATATGAAGTTGTTATATGATATCATCGGAATTCAAAGTGATCACTATGTGAGTTTTATGTCAATCAGACAGCAACCCAACAATAGTGAAAACTATTTCAGTTTACCTTTTAATGAGATAAAAATGTCGCTAAATATATCTCACATTTTCTTTAGGTGCTTTGTGGTTTAATCAGCTCTTCAACGTTTGTATTTAGTTTTGGATTTTCAAATATTTTGACTTCGGGCATCACTAAAGAGACATCTGATGCAGTAACATTAGTAATACTTATACTTATACTATTTATTCAGGTAAAGGCCTAATATATGAATGCAAATGAGATTTGGAAACATACATGCAGCTAAAAGCCTTAAGATATATAAAAATGATGTTTATTTAATTCCTTAACCAAAAGATGACCCATGAAAGAAAAAAAGCTTACTTCCAATGGGGTTCATAGAGTGTGAAAAATAGATAAGTCATCATTCAATTATATAGCAATGAATATTATCTATGAGTTACATCTTAAAACATTCATATAAAATAAGCAATCTAATAAAATATAAAATCTGTATCTGTACCGTTAATTTTATTGCGTGTTGTTTTCTTTTGCTTAGAAAATCTCTCATGAAACAATACCTTGATTGTGACAGCTTTTTCTTCTAAAATGAAGGACCGAAATTATTGATTTGAACTGTATTTTAATGTCTTAAAAGTCTGTTTGATTAATTCGTCTTTGGTTCTTATTTGAATAAATGAATGACTATTTGAAAATCACGTAGAAATTGATTAAGGGACAATGATATCCTCTTAATGACTTCAAGTACACGCTAAACGTTTTGTGTTAGTAACTGCTGACACAGCAGCCACTGGCACCGATTTTGTGATGGTATAATGCAAATACTACACACACTAAATTCTTAAGATCGAAAATATCAATTCTTCTACATTGGAGTCTGTGCGCTCCATAGAGAATTTAAAAAAGACAATTAAATTATTACCACATCCTATGCATCCCAATGCCTCCTCTAAAGATTTGACAGACAATTACTGTGTATTGGCTACCTAAATTACACCAAAGAGTCAAAGATCGTTTCATCTCGACTTCTAGTAAGTGTTATAAACTAATCTTGCTGTCATTTGGTCTCTGAATGAGAGGCGTTTCATTTACAATTATAGCACATCTTCTTACTTCTATATATATCATATTTTTATAAAAACAATCCGTTCTGGCAATCGAAGACAAAATCTTTGATTTCTCCCCAAAAAGTTGTATTGTGGATATACACAGAGAGGGGATCAAAGTTTCTTTACTACAATTAAAAATTTTGTAATAAACAATATGAACATAATGGAATTGAAGCGTGAAAACTCTTTGGATGATTTGGAAAAATTACGTGCTATTGATGGTCCTTTTAATTAAGTGGACAGTTATGACTTGTCGACTCTCTACACTTCCTGTCCACACAATCTTATAAACAGAAGTTTTTCTTATTGAATTAAATTGACCTTTGAAAAATCTTATAACAATACATTTACAGCTTTCTTCTGTGTTGAAAAAAATGATATGCTATGGCTTACTATGCAGTATGGGTTTTGCTCATTGTTGAAGGCCGTTTGGTGACCTATAGCTGTTAACTTCTACGACATTTGGTCTCTGGTGGAGAGCTGTCTCATAGGAAATCATATCACATCTTCCTTTTATTATAGATACACATGTAGCTGTGATTAAAAGATTAAAGCTGTTAATTTTCTCCTTGACAAAGCTGTACATGTTCCCCCATACAATTTATCTGCAGGTTGTGTGTAGTCTTATGGACATCAATTGCACCCTTATAGCAGACTTGTTCCTGTATGGTTATGAATCCCATTTTTTTGCCAAACCCAGAAAAGATCCGTCTATATTCCAATTTAATAAAAAAATATATAATGACACTTACTCAAGTTACTGTTACTTTAATTATACTGCGGTAATTTCCTAATATCTTTTTGAACCATAATAAAGATTCCTGACTGTCACACAGGGTAGAATACTTGTATATGATATTTTTTTTTAATCCAATAACACAGGCACTTGTCTCTGAAATTGTTTTTCTATATACCTTTATATTAAGGTATGTAGAAACAAGAATGTGTCCATAGTACACGGATGCCCCACTCGCACTATCATTTTCTATGTTCAGTTGACCGTGAAATTGGGGTCAAAACTCTAATTTGGCATTCAAATTAGAAAGATCATATCATAGGGAACATGTGCTCTAAGTTTCAAGTTGATTTGACTTCAACTTCATCAAAAACTGCCTTGACCAAAAACTTTAACCTGAAGCGGGACAGACGGACGGACTTCCGAACGGACGCACAGACCGAAAAACATAATGCCCCTCTACTATCGTAGGTGGGGCATAAAAAAATTGTGCCTGTGTCCAATAATCCCAAACAGAAGTTTTAAGTGTATTTTTTTTTTTTAAATGAAACAAAAGAGTTCAAAACAACATTTATTCAAATTAGATATAACGAAAACAAAACATATGTCCTGTAAAAACGGAACAGTTAGATAAGAGGACGACCAATTGGTATTCTGTGGGTGCTAATTACCTATCAGTGCAACTGTATAAAAAAAAGATCCCCCAATAAAGCTTTAGATTAAATCTATCTTGACCCACAAAATGTTGGAAATATTGCATAAAAACAAATATTCATACAGCACTGTCCCAAAAATAAGTAACCCTTTCCAGCAACGATTGAAAATGCATGTTTTTTCCTCACCCCCTTTCGAAAAACAAATGGTCGCCTTACACAATCAATCTCATCCATGACCACACTGTTAAAAAATGACGTTTCCAACTATTCAAATTCAATTCAATTCAAATGTGTATTGCCATGTAAATCTTAAACAATAAGTTTGTAACAAAGTACAAAATAAGTATACATTAACTGAAAATTCACATATATACACAATCATTTCCTTCATATACATGATATATTTATAACAATATGTTCATGTTATTACATAGTTATGGATATTGGTTAAAAATTAGTGATATATACTATACAATTGAAAAACACAGTTTTTCTGACTTTGTATTCATAGCAAGCAAAATGTTTTCTTCAGAGGAAAAACCTCTTCTTTTTCTCAGAATAACATGTGGGTGGCATGTGTTTTTTTTCAATGCGTAATTCTTATGTGTTATTGGCTTCTAACATATAAACACTGCATGATCACTTTTTTAAGCAAGCACCAATGTCAACCATATTAGAAACAAGAAACAACATTCTGCTATACCACTGTATACATCTATGAATTATAACACTCCAATTCAAAATTATTACAAAATACATATACCATTTCAATATAAATATAAATCAATACAATAAAAAAAACCAAGTGACAATGTGTTAGGATGGTACATATGCAGCACAAAATCTTTCCAAACATCACGTTTGACTTAACAGTCCAAAACATATATAAGCACCCATTTGGTCAATCAAAATGGAGTAACATCAATTTTCCAATTAAAACAAAAAGGACAGGGGATCCGCCTATAGGACTTAGCTGATCTGGGAGTATCTGTCAAGTAGTCAGTGCTTCTCAACTGACATGATTCATAACATATTTACATGTATTAAATTTTCCGTTGATGAATATAGAAATAATTAAGAAACTAAGGTCCCAACAGTGAACTCCCTCAGGTAAAGCTGACCTTCGATATTCTGTTTTTGCCTCGTTTGGTCATCTAGCTTTTTACATCAACGTTTTTCTTTTCTTTTGAACGTTGCTGATGAAGGTTAATACAGAAAAGCGCTTTGGACGCACACAATTAATAAACATGTTATTTCCTAATTAATAAAAATAAGGACAAGTAAGTAAAAAAATGTCGTTTTTGAAATTCAATAAATAAAATCTAAATTTCGTAATACAATTCCAAATAAAAATAATTTCGATGCAATGAAAATATAGTTAAAAATAGTACATTATATATAAAACAACACATCTAATGACTGTAAAGTCTATCTTTAATCACACAATAAGAATCCTGACCATGCAAAGGTAAACCAGTACATTCTTAAAGGACAATCATTATAAAATAGAATCACAGCAATCAAACTATGATTCAATGCTGAATACAAACGAAAATCATCTCACAATAAGAATCCAGTACAATTCAAAAAGGTAAATACATTGGCTGTATCATATCAAAATAAGTTGAAGAACACATCAGTCTTCATCTTTTGTATTAAGATGCAAAAAAATATTCACATTGTATATAAAATCATACATCTAATCCTGGTATCTATTAATAGTTTATATACATCTAAGGACCGAGTAAAATCTCTCTTTATTACAAAACAAGATAAAGAACTACACAATGCCAATCTTAATTATTACCATTAAAACATCAATCAATATTATTAGAAAATTTAAAAAAAAATCATAACAATCGAAGTTGGATTCTCGGCAATCCAATATCGTGGCATAACGATCCAGACTGGAACAACAATCCAAATAAGAATTCGGTATCTTTGTTACAGCTCAGTTTCTTTTGAAGGCAGGATTCCTTGTCTGACCTGTAAAACATTATGAATTTATTGAGTGTACACTAATATATTCATATGTACATGATGTATAATGAGCAAAAGCGAGGGTTATTTGAAATACTGGAGAGTAAACAAAAATGCCGATACTCATAAAAACTACTATTTCAAAATTTGTCTGCAAAGAGGAAGTTTTAAATTTTGCAAAGATGTTCACAATATTCACAAAACTTAGTCAATGCACATGGATGCATGAAATGTATTTATATCTTAAAGTGCCGCAGTGAATGAAAGTTTTCCAGTGTCATAGAATCGGAAGTAAAAGTGTAACTACATGTATTGTCGACTACTTGCAGTAAAAATGTATCGAATTCTTTAAAGAAGCATTTTTTTCTTCGGGTTTATGTTATAGTTAAAATAATAAATATTTTGAGATATTTTATACTGGTTAGGTTAAAACTTGCTAGCCAGTATGAAAATAAAAAATAATATCCTTCGAGTCACTATGTTTTTAACATTTATATGTTATTGATGCCTTTTCTTATATACTGATTGCATGAGATTTTTTCAATGCAGTATTAAACATTTTTTGCCATTCTGCACTTACTTTCCTTTAAAAATATCTAAAACAATATCTACCTTACGATATTCAGTTTTACAAACGACTATTTATATACTCCAGGATTTCACTTGTTAAGCGAATAGATGTTCCAGCCATTGGCCTAGTATATAACTCTGTTGGCGTTGCTGCATTCGACCGTTCTGGATACATCATGTCTTCTTGTTGCCCAATGAGATCAGCCAGTTTAGTAACTATGGATTTGAAATCTTCTTCGAAACCTTTTGCAAGTGAATATAAGTTACTAGTAGATGGAATGTTGTTGGAGTCCTTGTTGTAGTGGAAAGCCTTTAAAGCCTTTTCTGTTGACTAAAATAAATATCATATTTCCAACAGTTACTCTTTGTTAGTGGGGGCCACGGTGGCCGAGTGGCAATTATTAGTCGTACTACTGTATCACTAGCCTGTCAACACAAAGGTTGTGAGTTTGAATCCCGCACGTGGCATGTGCGCTCGACTCCAATCTTAATTAACAAGTATTGTCGGTTTTCCTACCGAAGGTCGGTGGTTCTTTCCGGGCACTCCGGCTTCCTCCACCAATAGAAACTGTACGCCACGAAATAGCACAATGGTGTTGAAAGTGGCGTTAAATATTTTTCAATTAATCAATCAATTTTTGCTAGTGTCTCTAACGGTTCTTCTTTACTTCTGGTATTGTAAATGTGTCATTGTTAAGTGGAACTGGCCAATCAGCGATGAAATAAATCAACATCATTTCGTCGTTGCGTTACAGTGTAAGATTGAATATTATCATTTATGTTGCGTGTGTGTGTTTGTAATATATTTGACAAAATGTTCCATAACACTAAAAATAGTTAGAAGCAACGCTCATCTTTCAAAAAGGAAACAGCAATTTTATTGTTTTTGAAATAACTTTATAACGCGGATTAAAATTTGTTATACGAAGTAAGTATCTGCACGAAAATAACTTCTGAAAGCTAATGAAAATACAAAATATACCGCCTAGATGTTACCTTGTAACATAATCATATTGAATGGGTTTTTAAAGCAAACTTCGTCGAAATCACCATTACATAAGAAAATTTATGCCGAACATTCAACGACAAATATCGTAAGCAAAAAAACCGAAAGTGGCCAAAATGAACAATTTTTGCCCAACATTTTAAGACTTAAAAAATGAGGTTACATCAAAATATTATTTTTTAAGTAAGTGTGTTTTTTTCTTCTTATCAACATGTATACATAATTTCAATGCAATCTATAGATACTCAATGATGTCACCACAGCAGTTAAAATAGTTCGACTGATGTTGAAGAAACTGTATTGATTAACATTAAGTTATGTCTTCTGAAAAATACTTACCATAGAAATTCCAGCCAAAAGTAAACTTTAACGGAAAAAAGAAAAAACGTTATCTGCCCAGAAGAGCGAGAAAACTAAACATGTAAATTTTACCTGGTAACATAGGAAACATATCCAGTTAAATGCACGATCTTGTTTGGAATTTTCATAGACTTTAGAAGCAACATCGAAATCATCCTTGGCCTGCCTAAACCATAGCCTGGCTTCTTGTGGAGAAGGTACTGTTTCTACTACATGCCTCTGGAATCCAGTAATGGGACGCTGCTGTGGATAATGGTGTGGCAGTGGGATTGCTCTGGTCTGTGCAGATTGTGAGGATAAAGTATGATGAGTAGGTCTCGTTTGAGAAGATTGTAAATGTTGATATTGTCCTTGAAATTGTGAGTGTGTAACACGGTCCCATGATGAAAACTGTCTATAGTACATCGAGTTTCTGCAAGTCTCTTCTTTCTCCTTAATTAGTTGTTGAAAGTGTATAAAAACTTCTTTAGCAGTCGTTTCCTCTTGCATGCTTCTATCTGGGTGATGTGCCATATAAAAACGTTTTATCATTGATCTTCTTTCTTCCTCAGTGTCTAAAGTGTAAATCAGGTTAACAAACTTTTCTGTTTCTTCTATCGCTGATTGCTTTGACTCTGGCCGATTGTTCATTTTCGGAACTTCAACTGCAGGCACTAATTCAACACAAGGTTTTGTATTTCTTGTAAATTTATATAATCTGTGTGCAGATAGTGTTTTAAATCTTCCTATGCTCACTTCAACGTCATACCTTTGCAACCAAACGGTTGCTATTGTTGAATCGTATACTTGTGACTTTATCTTCTTGCGTATTTTTGCATAAGTATATTGTGCAGGAATTATTCTACCGTTTTCTTCAATAGCATCATGGACCAAAAGAGCTACAGTTTCCCCATTTTCAAATTCTGAAAAACCGTTTTCCAACCAACAATGCCATTTTGGATGGACTGTAACACCAGGATTCTGGAAAACAGACTGAGTGAATGCTACTTCGTATCTTGTTACTCTTTCGTTGTCCAACATGGACGATATTCTCTCTACGTTTCGCAGGTTACACATCATCTTCAGAAGCAGTCTTTCTTGCCAAGTGTACATGTAATTTGTGCAGTGTTTAAATGCTTCTTGAAAAACGTTGCTGTTATTTGTGAGCCATAATTCTATCGTTTCATTTTGTGGTATTGCACAATAAAGTGTTTTGTCTTGCTTATCAAAGAAACTATCTTTTTCGATACTTGCTACAGTTATGTTGTGATATAGTAAATCTAAGCTCACTGTTTTCACTGATATAATTGGTATTTGACGAATGTCTTTTACAAGTTGCTCGGCATTAGCTAAATCAATTAACTTTGAAGCGCTTTTTTGTTGTGAATCTGCAATGATTCGTATAAAGCCTTCACAAAACTCGTCTGTTTGGATCATATTTGAAAGCTGTTTACAAACCATGTTCTCTATATGCTCCAACATGCCAGTGTTCAATCTTTCATGAATAAGCTGCGACAATATTTTTGGTCGCATCCGCGTAGGCAGACTGTTAAATAATACCATCCCATTAGCACCATAAATGTCAATGGCTTTTAAATCAATTACAAACTGGGTGGTTTCGGCTTCTGAGTGAACAAAACGTTCCCAATCTGAATTGTCCGAATAAATCAGGGTACTGGCATTTTCAAGCTTTTTATTTCTGGTGGGTAAGTATAGATGGTGAACATCTGAAAGAGATTTGTTTATGTTAGCGTCACAGTTCTCACGTGTAATTTCATTAATCATTCCCAATAGACACTTGGTAACAACTCGAAACTCGTTCTCATTTAGCTCCTCTTTAATAACATCAATAAACAAATATTCTAAGGTTTTTGCAAAATGGTAACAGCTTACTTTTGGTCGCATTCCAATTTTTTCAAAAACTTGTCCATATTGTCCATATTCCCTTGGAACTTGTGATAAATACCTTGGCATCTCTCCATCAAGGCATAATTGTTGAACAATCCTGCTACAGTTTACAAATATCATGTGTTTCGGTAAAAATACAATAGGTTTTTGCTGTAATCGCTTTGAAATTGTTGCTTCTCTTTCAATATTTTCATCTAACCATTTGTAAAACTTGTCCATTAGCTGCATAATGAAGCATATATCATCCATCCGAATTTTCTGTTTGTCCCCTTTTATTTTCAACTCGTCAACGATATTTTGTATATGAGACACAACATGATGACAATCTAGTTTATAATAAATGTTAAGCTGATTTCTTGCATTACCAGCAATGACTGCAATTCTAGAAGCGATCTCCGGAAGTATAGGACAACAAGTCCAGGATAAATCAGCGTGTTTTGTTAAAACTGCACCCGCAAAGCATATCAATTGGTCAATATTATGCTGTCTGTAAATATTGGTTTTCTTCCTTTCCACTTTGTAGGGAACAATGAACGGTATGTTGGCTATTTTTCGGAGCAAGCCTTCTTGGATCAGTTGAGTGGTTTCAAGGATGTGACATAGAAGCATTTCCGATTTGTGTTGCAGATCAGTGAAATAAAATAAATACCTTTTTGCGGCTACAGATTCGGCAAATTCCACAAACATATCGATAGTTATATCTTTCCGAATTCCTGCAAGTTCCAAAAAATCCTTCCATTCATAATCATTAAATTGCTGACATGGAAATTGTGATTCATCAGCTAAAGCCATCATTACTTCATTAAAAGGACTGTAGAAATATTTCGCTGTTTGTAGACGTCCTGTTCTATCGGGTATAATCTGTGTTTGTATCAATTGACTTATTAATACTTTCTGGTCATTTGTATAATTTCCTGAACCTGGTCTTGCTAAAAGTTTGTCCCTAATATAAACTAGATGTGATTCGCGATTTTCTACAGGTAACGATTCAAATGATGGTAATATATACATTGCATATGCGTTGCATATACTTCCAGATGACAAATTGATTGCTTTAAATACATTGTGCAATTTGTAGTTGTCTTTTAGTAATGTAGTTTGTGTCATTTTAGCCCAAATGTCTATTCCATCTGTAAGCATATCAATGGGGACTACTAAGATTCTCTTTTTATTCGTAAGAGATGTTACATAACCTGATATTGTAACATGAATAGGAATTTCTTTAACCCAAGTAATGATTTCTGGTTTTACTTGTTGGCCGCATGGACCATTGAAGCATTCTGATAAAAACTCTAAAATCACTGTGCAATGTTCCGAATGAAGTGTGCAGTGACGTTTCTTGAGCTTCTCTCGGTTCAGATATAAGCATTCCAAAACTCCAGTACAAGATTTGATTGACGGTGTTAATGACATCAATAACGTATTCTTTGTGTCTAGAACTGGAAGTTTGAGGGAATTCAGAGCTTGCGCAAGAGCACCATGGAATGAATGTATATCCAAAATAGCTTTGAAGTCTCCTAAAGGGTAAAGCAAATTTTCACATTTTTTTTGGTCAGTTTTTATTGCTTTTTCACTATAAATTTTATTATAGAAACGGTGTCCCACGTAGGTAAATGACTGTTCATATTCTATCTTGCAGGGTATTAAGCACCAAGGAAGAAATTGTTTCCATACACGTCGATCACAAGACTGCATTTCACCCTTTATAAAACACCAAACATTCTCTATCCAGGATCTTGTTGGTATTTGTGAGGACTCAGGATTCCATTCAACAGCCTGGTCGATTGTGCGATATTTTTCTAGTGATACCGTGTATGGTAACCATTCTATGAAATCATTTAATGTAAATGTCTTCAAACCATGGATTCTGTCACCAGTTATCCGATTGACCAACTTTCCATGAAGAAATTGAGATGCTGATTCTGGAAGTAAATCGAAGAACTTTGTATGGAAAACGGCTTTTTCAATATCAAATTTTTGAATCATTTTGTCCTGCCTAAGGCAGAGTGGAAGCCCTAATATTTTGTTTTTAAAATTCTCGTCTTTCTGACAGTATTCTAAGCATGTCAGTAAACGATCTAATGTAAGAAATTGCGACTTATGCAATTCTATTTGTGTTTCACCTTTCATAATATCAACTGATTTCATAAACATGATCAAAAATGTTGGTGAAATTGTCTGGACTTTCAATCCTGATAAACGCATACTTTCCAAGACAAACATTGGTGTGTCAACGAGGTGTACTCCGAGACTTCTACATATATCAACGATCATTGGTGTCTTTCCACATTTGGAAAATAACTTAGTTATGCCTTGTATCTGAGTTGAGAAGGGAAAACTCGTCTTGTCAAATTGTAAATTGTTCCAAACAGCTTCAAATTCATCACGGGTGTTTCGTAAAGAAACAAACCGAATGGTTTTATCAAAGCTTATAGCAAACAGTTCAACATTGGATTTGTGTATGTAATTATAAACGCAGCAAATAAGATACTCCACATAATTATTTTTAGCTTTCGTAATGTTTGGGAAAATGCTATGAAAAAACGACAGATTTAATGTTGTTTCTGTATCTGACAGCCGACTTGTTTTAGTTGGTTTTATTCTTTTTTGTAAGAATACCAACGCTGACACATAGCATGGAGCAACGATCTGATCCAATATAAGCTTGTTCCAGCATGATCGATAGCTTTCACGATCCTCATCCAACAAATTTCGCCTGGTCTGATGATCTAACACAAAGTGTCCATTAAAATGAATCGGAAGACCAGTGGGGTTCTCTAAAGGTAAAAAGCAATATGATTTTCCTTCAATTTTTTCATCTGCGTGTTCCGTCTGTGTAATATCAATCGCAATTCCACCTCGAGGCATGAGATTTAGTTCCCGATTTCTAAAAGCAGTGGTTACATTTTTCTTTATCTTACTTGTTTCTTTGAATCCCAATCCATTCACGATCAACCAAGATTTCTCTATTCCATTGCTATCATCAACTGTTGCTTCATACAGGACATCTGATGGATTTACCTGGTAGTATGAGTCGCTCTTTGATACAATGTCAGCTGTCTGGTATACGTTTTCAAAAAACTGTTGACGTCCTTCTAAATTGGATTTTTTTATATTAACTGAGTAAATCTCCTGCAAGGAATTATCTACTATTTCCGAAATGGTGATTTTTTCTACATTGGATACAAATAAAAGTATGTCAGGCAGGTCCTTAACGAACAGATCTAAGATATTTCTAACATAATTTTCGTCTACAGAAGTCTTCTTGAGTTTTGATTGCATTGCAAATGAAGTTGTTCTCAAGGGTAAACGAAATATTGTTCCTTTCTCTTTTAGGAGAAGATTGGAATGATAGCATTCAAACACATCCGAGAAGTCCTCCCAAAGTTCCTCAAGTTGGATATATTCAATGCCCGGTACTGACGGTGTTGCTCCAGGAACATAACGACAATTCGGATCAAGAACACACAAAATCTGTCCACTTTCCACCTCTGGACCTTTTGTTAAAAATGATGGGACATCAGTTAAATGATAAACAACATTAAAACCAACGCCATATTGACCTGTTTTTGTTGGGTCCATTCGTTTACTTCCTATACCTAAATCCTGTATTCCATTCAAATCCTGTTCTGAGAACGCGCTATCGTTGTATATAAGTAAAGCTGGCCCTTGTAAGGGTTTCCATGATTCATCAAACAGCTTATCTGACGGGTAATGATTGAAATCTGCCACAATATGTATTTCAGAGGCTTTTGCGTCGTCAGCATTCTGTACAAGTTCTTTTAGAACTCCAGAATCACATGGATACCCGTCTAATATACCTTTAATTCGAGTGGTGAGTTCCTCACGCTGACCAAAACGCCTTGTCCTTGAACAAAGTCGAAGTTTCATTTTTCTTTTTGAAAGAATCCCTAGAGATGACGCTAATGCAGGCGATATCAAATCATGCGTAAATTTCATCGCTTGTCTTGTGTAGACTTCAGTTTCTTGAACGCATAAAAACTTTGTTAAAGTTAAAACGTTTTCGTTGTCAGGAGCCATTAAAATAGGAAGTGACGTTGGAGATATCTGTTCAATTTGCATCGAGTGTGCAAGTTGTAACAACAGGTTTATATAGACTGTGATGTCACTATTCGGTAGTTTAGAGCTTTCGTATTGATTTTGAAACTTTGCTAATACACCTAAGATTGAATTCACGTCAACATCTCGTCTGATTCCAATACATTTGAGAAAATACTTAAAATATTTAAGATGGGGCGCATTTTGAAGGCTGTAGAAATATGGTCGACAATCATGAGCTACTTCTTCAAACACTTCCACTGGAGAAAGAAAAGTGTCATTCAGAAATATCATGGGATACTGATTAATTTCTTCCAAAATATTGTTCAGTCTTTCTTTTCCGACTGTATCATTTTCCAAAATAAAGTTAAAATACCTATATATTTCCATTGTCACTGTATGCAAAGTTTCAACGACCTGATCGTTAATGTCGATCTTTTTGCTTTCTTTGGCTATGTTTTTAAGATTTGCCAACACGTGTTCAACGTCTAGAGTGTTACGCGTTTTTACTCCAATTTTCGTCAATACATTTAGAAAAAGCTCGCTTATTTGCTTATCCAATACGAACATTGTAGTACCAACAAGACAATAGCAGTCAGATAAATGAAGTTTGTTTAAGCCTTCAAATAATACTGGTTCCATTATGCTATGGTTTTGATTTCCACATGATTGTACTACTGTGTTCAAATTTGTTTCTTTATTCCCTGCCCATGTAAATTTCCAGGATTTAGGTTGTCTCATACATGGTAGAAACTCTTCTGTTTCTAACATACTTTTGTGTGGAATAAGAAAAGTGGAATTTTTAGTTATATATTCGAGAAAATTTATACATCGTTCTATAGCACAACCAGTGCATGTCTTTGCTTTGACTTTCACGGATCTAGCTCTATCTATTATTAAATAAGGAGTAAGCGTGTTTGTTATTACTCCAAGTCCCTTTGTTGTGAACAGCTTGTCAAACGTGTTAAGTGCTGATGAAAGGCAAACAAAGCGCTCGTCGTCAATATCGAAGAGACAGCTAACGCTTCCATTTCTGTCAACGATTTCATTAGGACATTTTAATTTTCCGTGTGGCTCTGTTGGAATACATGGGTATTCGTTAAGTAGAAACAGGATGTCATCATTACAGCTGTTTAAGGCAAATATGATTACTCCGTCCCTTTTGCCATCCCAGATTGTGTCAACAAAGTTAGGTAGAATAACTTGTTTGTACAAATGGAAGATTGATATCATTTTCCTTGAAATAAACGATTCACATTCAGCATTTATGAAGCATCTCAAAATATTTCTCGGTATTTTAATCAAAATATCTTTCCAGTGTATCTTTTCACAAGCCTCCAACACTACATCACAAAAGTTCGATTCAGCAATGTCGGGATGCAAAAAAGCACATTCATCAAGTGAAACACATCTCGAGCCTCCTGTTCTAAACACTCTACATTTACTTCGACAAATGTGATTATATACCATTCTTTGGAGAATCCAAAAATTATCTTTGGAATTTTTAATAATCTCCGTTGGCCATCGTTCGAAATATGCTTCGGTCGGACTGATTTTTGAATTCTGAAGATCTTCTAGAAATTTTACATAGGCATTGCATACTGCATCTTGCATCAATTCTTTATTCCAGATACTTTCAAAAGAAGATTTGTCGTCCGTCGAGTCAGAACAGAGACGCTGACGATCTGCAGTAACAGCAAAATAACCGTTTATATGTACCGGTAGATTTGTCTCTAATGGTAATGGAAGGAAACAGAAAACATGGCTAGTTTTGTAAAACCCAACTGGAAGTGACTCGAAGTTAATAGTCCGAATTTTCCCGTCAACCACTTCCACTGGGCATGCTATACTTGCAACTGCTAAAACTCCTTTCTCACTGTTGTTTATTGACATATTCCAACTACTGGACGTCCCTCTTTCCCAGGTTATTATCCATTTAGTGTTTGAACTATACTCCTTAATCCCAAGTTCGTCTTCAGCACTGGAGAATATTGAAATATCAAATATTGCACTGAATAATAATGGAAAATTTTTTTGGTTTTTCGTGGACTGATGTTGATGTTTTACTATGGACATGCTTTGTAATACAGTTGTGACGTTTTCTTCAAACATGCTTTTAATTGGCATTTCGATTGTCTGTTTCATTTTTCTTTCAGTTCTGAAAACAAGTTTAGATTCCACTGGGCTTCTGCCATCGTCTGGTAGGAAATACAGTTCAACTGACATCACATTTTGCGTGAATAGAAGGAGGTTGCCCCCAGATTCTGTAAACATATTCAAAAGTCGTACCATTTCGTGTTTATCATAAACAGTGTGACTAATTTCACTTTGTTCAGCCTGTTGTTTTGTCCTTAATGGAAACCTGAATAAAGTTCCCTTATATGATAATTTTCTGTCCTGTGAAACTGTGAGATTGCAGTCAAAAACTCCTTCAAATGGTAAAAACTGGGTGCACATAGTTTTTAACATACTTCTGTTTTTTGATATGTTGATTTTTACTCCTGGTTGTCGTTTGTTTCTTAAGGCTGTTCCGAGATACTTCGTGTGAGGATCAAAAATGACGATGTGGTTTCCACTTATGAAACTTGGGACCTCAGTTAAGTTATACACTGAACAAAACCCTAGACCAAATCTCCCGATCTTTGTTGTATCGAGTTCTTTTGTTGCACCATTCAATTTTGTAATGTTTTCAAGATCTCCTTGGGAAAATTGTGCATCATTGAAAGACCATAACGCAGGGCCCTGGCATTCTACCATTCCTTTGTCAATCAATCTAGTGCGCGCGTTTTTGTTTTGACGTTCATCATATAGGAAGCACACTTCTGTTGCACCAGCATCGTCTGCGTTCTGTATAAGTTCCTTAAATACTGAAAAGCCATCTTTGTACTCTTTTAGCAGTGTTTTGAGTCTTGTTGTCAGCGGTTCACATTGTCCCCATTCTTCCAACCATTCTGTGTTTTGTAAAAGTCTGTCAGTAAGTGAAGGTACACCAAGTTTAACTGCAGTATCCATTGGTATGTCATGGTGAACATAAAAAATGTCGTTTCCGTCTTCATCAGCAGAATCTTTCAACCAATCTTCGTTGCAGTAATTGCATTTCGATGCAGGCTGTAAAACCAGTTTATTTGCCTTCTCTGTGTGTACTGGAAATAAAATGTCGTCGTGCTCTATTCCATCCTCTTCTTTTAAGATATTTAGTATTTTAACGACTAGCTGTAAGTCCTCTGTAGTATCCTTTTCGTTAACTTCACTTGTATCGTGCTTTTTCTTTATCAATTTAAGGACTTCAACACATAAATCCGAGTGATTACCAGACAGGCAGAATTTTGTTTCTGTGAAAAATGTTTTGAATTTTTTAAGTTGAAATTCTCCTGGCAAGGTATATAAGTACGGTTCAAAATTGATGACTGGATGCTCATCTTTTGAAAAATAAATCTGGTTTGATCGGACAAACTTCGAACCTACCCATATCCATTCTTTATTTTTGAATTCCTCAAGCGCCTCTTTCGAAAAACTGCCGTAATTATCTACTAAGAAGTGAAAGATGTCGCTTATTAATGGCAACAACTGCGGTTTATATATATCTTCATAGCTATATGCTATTATCAGTAATTGTACAATGACGTTTTTTACATCTGGTGTTTTATTCCATGAACATTTTGTAGCTAAACTCGCACATTCAGAACTGTTTACCAACGGTAATACACATCCCACTAGTTTCTGATGTTTTTCATCTAACAAATCATTTGGTTTACAAAATGCAAACTGTGGATGAAACCATTTTAATACGTATGGGAATGAGCACGGTTTTTTAACTGGTTCAACAAAATGATAGTCACAGATGACATCAGTCACAAGCTCTGGACGAGATGACAAAAGCTCCATGATTTTCGATGACCGTGCAAAGTCGATGTCACTACATCTACCATTTGTGCATTTGTCGTGTATTTCTTTGGCGCATCTGATGATATGATTCTCTGTTAAGTCATTGACTGATTTGATTCCTAATTTTCTTAAATATTTCAAATCAATATTAGTCTTCTTCACATCTGGAAAGTCATCTTCCACAAGGATTAGTTTTAAACCTTCGTCTTCTGGATCAAAATATTCACATGCACATTTTCTTCGCCCCTTATTGTCATATACAAATCGTATATTTTTACATTCTTCCAAAATCAATACTTTACTTGGAAACCGCTTCAAATGTGTCAGTACGTACTGAAGAACATTCCTCTGATCAATTTCGGAATAACAACCGATATCGTTTTTTAAATACTTCAAAACATTCACCCCTGCACTGTTGAATTCAATTTCGTTCATTTCTAATGCAACGGAAAAATTATAATGTTCTTTGTTACTTACATCGATGTTTTCAACAAAATATTGGACTGGTAAATCTTCCGTATGAACAATCAGTCCCACTTCGTTTCTTGAGACAAAACGACTTGTGATCCTCTCCTTAAAGAGCTTCAGTGACGAAAGTACTTCCGCCGCTCTGCAGTGTACAGATTCAATAACAGACATAAATGACACAAAATCATCTCTATCACCTGGTGTGCATTCCTGATTGAAAGTTTCAATGAGTTCATCTCGACAACTGTTAACACTAACAGCCTCTAAAAGTCGACATACATTATAGACTGTCGGTTTGAAGACATATTGGTCGATATCGGGATGTTCAGAGATATCTCCCCACATAGCTGGTAGTATAACAATATCCAACAAACTGAGACATCTACATACACCATCTGGTAGCTCTTTAAAGTCTTTGGATGATTTGATGATAAACTGCTTCGATAACTTACATAGTATCGCTTCTTTGGAATCATCTAGCAACAAGTTCTCACCACTGATGATTGGCACTATAAAAAGGTCTTTAAAGAAGCCGAGGTCAAACTGTCTGTCCTTTAGGAGCTTCCAAACTTTTTTCAGCCATGTTTCATTTGTTCTTCCGTTGGTGGTTTTCCATGCAAGTCTTTCCAGTGTCGTTGTTCCAATATTCTTCTGTATTGTTGTTCGTAGTAGACCAGCTATTTCTTTATCTGTTGACCTTGAGAACTTATGCAACTGAAATAAACCTATACAAAAAAATATTGATTAGAACACTAAATATTCAAACAGAAGAGAAGGAACCTCATTGCCATCAAGATCCCTTCAATTTATTTAAATGAATGTAAAAAGATTCGATGATCTTATATACAAGTAACTGTTTAATATTTAGACTAAAAAGAATAACCAATTTGTTTTCGGTTTCCAATACAAGAACAACCGTAAGAATCCGAACTAGTGGTGTTATAAAATACTTGGCATAACAGTTTAACAACCAGCAAAGCATAACTTTTTTTTTCATTTGTGTTGACCATTTTATCTATTTTTTATGAAATTTAAAATACATCAATTTAAGAAATAACAAAAATTGATATTTCAATAATTGCGCCTTCAATATTTATAATTTGCATTTATTACCTTTTGTGCAAATATTTAGAAGATTGTCATATATTTCCTTTTGAAGATCTTGTTTGATGAATTTTTCTTCAAGTCCAGGAAACAATTCGGTGACATTCTGACTCACAAACACCATGTCGTTGGAGGTATGGTCAAATTCAGCAAAACATCCATTGTGCAGAGGGAGCAATGGAACACCTTGTAGAATGCTCTGGTCTTCACAGGAAAGCAAAAACTGTAAAATGTTCATTTTGTCTGATTCTGGCGAACTGTTTAGGTTTGATGGATTCATGATAGCTGCTGCAGCAACCAATTTTCCTGTTATACTAACAATCTCTATTCCTTTGCGTTCAATAGCAAATAAGATTTTCTCCTCGCTGTGAACTATATTTTCGTTGTTCAGCAACAGAAATTCTAAAACACTTCTTTTTACATCTATAATAAGAAATGGTATTGAGTTTAAAATCTATGTTTAAAGTTTAAGTTGACTTCTCAATTAAACCGTTTAGTACTCTAGTTTAAATCAATCGGCTTTATCAACTTTCAAATTGATAGTAAACTATTTCGCCACGTATAAATATTGATTTTACTGGATTGAGCGAACCGCTTTAGCATTGTACAAATATAGTAATTATAACAAACAGGTTTGTGAAATATACAAAACAAAATTAAAAAAACTCTTCCAATCAAACCCTTAGATGTGGAAGCTGTTCATCTCAATTTGAGTCCTTCTGTAATTAAAGGCTTTATTCTATTACATGATTCACTAAACGTCCATAAACACATTTCATGAAGTCCTGTGAAGACGACAAAACAATATTTGTTGGTAAAATTCAGAAATTAGAAGTTGTGCAAATAAAGTGCATAGTATAGTTTAATTTACCGATGGTATCAAAGCTGACAAAATAAAAATTTACCGATATCTAACATATATCTCAATCCTGTGTTTGCCTATTACTTAAGACAACAGTTTTTTGGGGTTAAAATTCTAAATTATAGTTATAGTCAGTCATGACGAAAATATTAAATTACAGCTTATAAAGATAAAAAGTTGCTTACTGCTGCAAGTGTCTGTTTGAATACGAGTTCGCTTCCCGCTTGCTATGTCTGTTTTAATATGACTTAACTTACCGCTGTTAGTGTCTGCTTCAAAAACATCGAATACAGCTTCTTTGATACTAATCCAACATCCTCCATTGTTTTCTGTGAACAAAAACTTGCTTTCAAAGAGTGAATCAAACAATGGCTTTAAAATATTCTTCCAGTGTTCCGTTATCTGTCGACAATCGGGTATAGTTCTTGTAACTATGGCAACCGAATCTGGCGTAATGGTGTGCTCGATTAACTCTAATATTACATTGTAGTACAAGTCCGCGAGAACTTCCGTTATCAGACAGTTATTCCATCTCAATGATTTGTCTTTGTAAGTTCCTTGTTTCATTTGATCTGCAGTAGGCCATTTAACATGTCGTCTATTCTGACTAAGAGCAAAGTAACCATTCACGTGCACCGGAAGTCCTGTCAAACTATTATCTGTTAACGGCAATGGCATAAGACAAAACACGTGCCCTCTGAACTGGTCCTCTTCCATAGGAACTGCAATGCTAGTATATGGACTATAAGACAATGATTCGTCGAGGGAAAGAATTCGCAACTCTTCAGACATATTGCCACCTTTCATACAATGAAAAATTATCCATTCGTTTGTATGGATATCGCCTTCATTAAGCGTTTCTACCGTCATTCTGTAGTTAATGCGAAATGTTTTGTTTGCTAGCATTTTACCATAGGTCTTTAGGTGGTTCATGACATGAATTCTTCCATCTCTCACGCTTTGAACACACGAGTCCGAAATGTTCACACTGTAGACTGGAGAATCGCCGTAGTCTTGGTCTCGTTCTAAGTCTGTAAATTTCCAATACAGGTCGATTCTTTCCAAACATTTAAGAAACAACAGTTCGACTGGAGCTTCGGCTTTAAATGCTTTAAATAAGTCCATCACTTTTATCTCATCATAAATGTTTTCAGAAAGTTCCGTTTTCACTTCTCTCAATGGGAACCTAAACAATGTACCCTTGAAATTCCCTTTTTCTATGGTCTCTGTGGAAAATCCAAACATACCTTCAAATGCTGCAAGACAATCAGTTACATCCATTCTCTTGTATTTTCTCATTTTATTTAATTTCATTTTTATGCAAACACGATCAGAGAGTTTCTGGTGGGGATCTAAAATCAGTAACTGGTTTCCACTGATAATCATTGGATAATCTGAAATAAAACACAAACTGGTATCTTATTACAACTGTCTGACTATTCATCAAAAACTAAGATAACTCTTACGTTGCTCTCGACCCATATCATCGTGTAATTGCAAATCGCAAAAATATCAATATTGGTTTGTTTTCCTACCTCCAACAGCAAGGGATTTGTTGCAATTTCTGCTAAAATAACAATAATGGTACCAGTTTTACTGCACCAGAAGCGCATTTCGACAATAAATGTCTCTTCAGTGATGCTCAAGGCCATAATATTTAAAAATAAAAAAATATTCAAAAATTGAAGAGCTGATCAACCCAAAAAGAACAAAAGTATAACTAAAGCCGGGCAAGAAATCAGACCTTTTCATGAGGCAGATATATTCCTCAATTTAAAATAATTTCCAAAATTTTGTAACAACATTTCAATAACACAATATCCGTATTTTCATGGGATGGGGATAACATCGGAGACTAAGAGTCCACCAGCAGAGGTATCGACCCAGTGGTAGTAATAACATTAACGGTACCGATTTTATTGAACAAGATGCGCATTTCGACAATAAATGTCTCTTCAGTCATGCTCGAGGCCAACATTTTTGGAATTTCAAAACTTATTCAAAGAACGAAGAGCTGCTAAATCCAATAAGAAAAAAAAGTATAACCAAAGCCGGGCAAAATGTCTTAACATTCAATTGCATTCGAAAAGTTAGCAGAAGTTTGACTTTCGTCTATACATAAACTCCAGTTAGTATGTAAAGTTCATAGACTCATCAATACAAAATTCTTTTCAGTAAAAAGCGAGCTCAAAATTGATTTTTGTCGAGCCTTCGACTTAAGTCGAAAAAGCGAGACATAGCGATCCTACATTCCGTCGGCGTCGGCGTCGTCGTCGTCGTCGTCTTCGTCGTTGTCGTCGGCGGCGTCCACAAATATTCACTCTGTGGTTAAAGTTTTTGAAATTTTAATTTCTTAAACTATCCTGGATTTCTACCAAACTTGGACAGAAGCTTGTTTATGATCATAAGATAGTATCCAGAAGTAAATTTTGTAAAAATAAAATTCCTGTTTTTCCGTATTTTACTTGTAAATGGACTTAGTTTTTCTGCCAGGAAACATTACATTCATTCTGTGGTTAAAGTTTTTAAAATGTTAATAACTTTCTTAAATTATCCTGGATTTGTACCAAACATGGACAGAAGCTTGTTTATGATCATAAGATAGTATCCAGAAGTAAATTTGTTAAAAAAAAATTTCATTTTTTCCGTATTTTACTTATAAATGGAGTTAGTTTTTCTGCCAGGAAACAATACATTCACTCTGTGGTTAAAGTTTTTAAAATTTTAATAACTTTCTTAAACTATCCTGGATTTGTACCAAACTTGGACAGAAGCTTGTTTATGATCATAAGATAGTATCCAGAAGTAAATTTGTTAAAAAAAAAATTTCTTTTTTTCCGTATTTTACTTATAAATGGACTTAGTTTGTCTGCCAGGAAACAATATTTTCACTCTGGTTAAAGTTTTTAAAATTTTGATAACTTTCTTAAACTATCCTGGATTTGTACCAAATTTGGACAGAAGCTCGTTTATGATCAAAAGCTAGTATCTAGAAGGAAATTTTGTTAAAATTTGTACCTGTTTATCCGTATTTTACTTATAAATGGACTTAGTTTTTCTTCCAGTTAACATTAAATACAGTCTGCAGTTAAAGTTTTTAAAACATTTATTAGATTCATAAACTATCCTGGATTTATACCAAACTTTGACAGAAGCTTCTTACAATCAAAAGATAGTATCTAAAGGAATATTTTTATTGATTTTTTTTCCTAATTTTTGTTGAGCCTGCGATTAACAGCAAAAGTAAGCGAGACACTGGGTTCTGCGGAACCCTTACGAATTTTTTAGAGAAAGAAATAATTTCTTGGTTAAACAAATACGATACGCCAGTTCAAATGATTTTAAAATAGTTTGAAAATGAATTATATCATAATAGATATATCGTAACATATCCATATTACTGAATTGACTATATGTGATCATATGTGTTTGAATAATGAAGATGTCGTAAGGTAGACAGGATCTGCAATGACTCGGATAGTGAATACATATATTTTTTGATAATCATATTTTGAATTTGTGTGTCGTATTTCCTGTCTATTTTTATTAAATTTTTCACGTTGCCACCAAGATTTATATGTTGACTACACTATCCATGTCCGCGTATTCTGAAAAATACGTTTGCGTCGTGATTTTAAAGTATACTGTCAATGTGCGGAATACTATCAATGTCCGTATACTTAAAAATCCTTTTCAATATACAGAATTAGATACTAGTATACCGCAAATTGACTAAATCCATGGTGCTAACCTTATAAAAAAAACAAAAAATGCGAAAAACAAATTCAAAATTAAAACGATTAGTTCATATATATCTTGAGTGTACGTTGTATATAATAATACCTGTTATGTGAAATACAGATTTAAATCCTAGACCAAATCGTCCAACTTTAACCGGATCGAACTCCTTTACACTACTGTAGATCATTCGTATTCCACACCAATCGCTTTCTGTGAAAATTGCATTGTTATAAATGCAAAGCGCAGGGCCCTGTTAAAACATCAGGAAAATTATATAAACTTATATCACCTGTCTGTATAAGCTTCCCAAAAAAGCTTACTTTACCTCAACAACTATTTATTATTGGGATAATGTGTTAGTGGTATTATAAAAGTCAAATACATGAAACAATAAAAAAAAATCCATCTTATATCACCCACTCACGGTAGGGCCGATAGTGTCCGGCTGAAATCGTATTTTTTAGAGTATTTGATCGGGTTTGTCTAGTGTGACCACGTCTTTTGGAGTGAATATGATCAAAAATGAAAACAAACAGACTTTATTTATGGTAAGACGTAAAAAAAAGATGCCAGAACCTTATATTTAATATCATAGAAGGTAAATTTGTATTTGTTATAAAAATTTATCATCAACCCTACACTATTTTGTTTTGAAAGCGTTTAATTTAGCCTTACAATGCTTTATATAGAAATATAGATTAAAGCCATTTTATACACATACCAATGCAAATGTTAACGGAAATGCTTACAAGGAATCTATATATACTTGGATATACACAAGTCTAAATTGAAAACAACGTTCAAACCTATGATTGCGTTGGATAAAAACCGCAATTTTTATACGTGTGCATGCAAAACAAATTCCTTGGTAGAGGGGTCTAAATACAGCACAAACAACATTTTCCGAAAGACCAAAACAGTGAAAAAGTATATTTTAACAAAACACATTTGACTAGCAGGTCGAACAACGGATGTTCTTAAACCCTGCTGACTGCCATGGCGATTGCCAAATAAACGGATCACCAGATGTAACAAAATGAATTTTAATTATAAATTTAATACCAAACAGAAAACAATAAACTTGCGGAAAAGATGGTATACCGCAAACATGAGGTGCAAAAATTTATACACCATATCCGGATTTCGACAATTAATGTCTCTACTTAGATATACAGATACTTTACAAAAATTCTTGTTTTTGCATTGAAAAGTACATTTTGGAGAGTAAATTCATTTTTATATGTCTGTGTTTTTTCGAGAGAAGTCCGTGTTTTTTCGAGTGCGTCCTTGTTTTATCGAGTGAAAAAACCAAAATTCCTATGGCTTAAAATGTAATATGTCAGTGCATTTACGTTAAAAAGACAATGAAAAGGTTCAAATAAAGTACTTTTCAAAGCACGAAACAATGCAATAAACCAGTGTGATAATGCTGTATTAACACGTACATTTCATAAAAAGGCATCATTCATTTGTATTCAGATATCTTCATGTAAGTGTACCGATATGGATTTCACACAGGAAATATTTCGTGATGTAAACAATCTTTATGTGAGCTCAGACATGTTTGATTGAGACGTACGTACACATAGTGTGTTAAGCGGGAAAATGTGTGTGTTTTAACAGAAAAAACATTCTTAATGTTTCATTAAATGATTATCTTGATGATAATATGTTTTATCGTTCTAGAAATGGAAATCAAATGCTCCTACTGTGAAGAGGAGTCTGATCAAGCGTATGATATACTTGGTCACATAGAAATAAAGCACTAATCATAGATTCATTTCCATCAGAAAGTAGAAGAATTATATTTGTGAGGTGTAATCATATGATATGCACATTTTGGGTTTTTTATCATTTCAAGATCGTATTAAAGCTTACAGATTACTTATTTCGTTGTTTATTACATATATTGGATAAGTCCCCGAGTTAATCATCAGCTCAGTTGTCAGTACTTCGGTACTGACATGATTTATAACAAACCTTTCTTGTTTACCTCCAAGTGGGACTTATGAATAGAAATATGGTCCCTTAGGTCCTCTTCCGACCTGCAGTAAAACCCTTGCCAAAGTGGGGTGTCCGTTTGCCTGTGCGGGATGTTTAAGTTCGCAGCCACGTCCGGTCAAAATGGGGCGTGTAGAGAGTGTCATGCTCACTACACGTTAAGAACCCTTGCAACAGCTCTTTGAGGGGTCCGTAGGTGGCCTGCTGCAAGGCAAAATTTCTGTCCATATCCAATATATCATAATTTTCAGTGGCAGCCTAAATTTCCCGACCTTCATCTCGAGCGTCCTCTGTTACAGGACCTCAATATTGGATTTATTGTTAATTGGTTCTCGTCTTGAACATGCATGAACTATTTACCACTGAACGTTAAGCAACCAACAATCAATCATTTAAAATTGTTCGTTTATAAATTTAAAAATTGTAAAGAAACTAAGGTTTCAACTCTATCAGGCAAAGTTGACCTTGGATGGATTTGGCTATTTTAGGTCGCTTTGGTCATATAGCTCTTTAAATGTTTCGGTTCTTATACATCCTTGGCTTTCAAATATTCGACTTTGAGCTTTCTGGATGAGGGTAAATCCAGAAAAGCGCTTCGGACGCATGAAATTTATAAAGTGATGTTTTCAATTTTTATTAGATATACCATTCAATTCAAATGTTATTGTAATATATTTGTTTTTGGGTGGAGGTCTCTTTTAGTAGAATATTTGGGTTTATATTGATTTTTTCTGATTTTTTACTGATTTCCTTAGTTTTCTTGCTTCTATGTTTTTTCGTCACTGTAGTATATATATATATATATCAATCATAAAATAGTATTGATGCTAAAAACAAAGGACGCATGAAATTAAATTGAAAAGATTATGAGTCCCTCTCCTCGGTTCTAAAGACCGTTTTAAAAAGGACCCAGTGATTTCTTATATATCCTAATACTGCAAGGTTATGGTAATATTTTTTTAGAACAGTAAGTTATCATTAAATCAAAAAGGGTTAAATTTGATCAATAAAGTAATATGTTTTTGTGACTTATTAGGAATAAATAATATTGTCCTTCGCTAAATAACAGTTACAGACTAGAAAAGGTCATTTTTTAGCCCAAGATTGTCTTCTTTCTTATTCACATTTTCTTTAAAAAAAAAAACCGGACCATTTGTTGAAAAACCTGGACGTTTTAGATGTTGCTCTCGAAAAAACACGGACAATATTAAACACTGAATTGTGAGTGAACTACACGGAAATTGTGCGTCGTTTGTGCTCAAAACATGTATAGCATTCATAATAAGATGAACAGTCACGAATACGACTATTATATTCGCGAAATAACAGTAAATTGATCTGATCGCATGTAATATATCACTCGAAAAAACCTGATCCACACTCGAAAAAAGTGGACCGATTCACTCGAAAAAAAACACGATCTCAGCCGGACACTATGCCTACCGTGGCACTACCGTTTTCTGAATAAATCCTATAAATGAATATTGAATATGAAATGGAGTACACTACAGTATCTCATGCTGATGCTCTAAAAATGATTCATAGTGAATACCTTAAATCATTCATAGCGAATAGCGAATAGAATAAAATAGCTCAATACAGCTATTCACTATGATTTCATACCTTAAAAAATACATCTGATTACCTGAAGTAATTTGTGTTGAATATACTTAAGTGATTCATAAGTATATACCTTAAAATACTTCTTGAAATATTGTTTCTTAGTGCTGGATATATCTTGGTTGATTTTGCGGTCGTCATACAAAACTTTCATTAATGAGGCCTCGGCATCTTCAGCATTCTGGATTATTTCCTGCACATAGAAATGACGACGCTAAAGAAACAATGACAACTAGAGGCACCAATGGCCTGTATCGAACACAAGGTATCTATAAATAAAATTGGAGTCATAAAAAAGCTCATCATAGATACCAGGTTTGAATTAGTGTACGCCAGACGTGCGTTACGTCTACAAAAGACTCATCAGTGACGCTCGAATCAAAAAAAGTTAAAACCGCCAAATAAAGAACGAAGTTGAAAAGCATTGAGGACCCAAAATTCTTAAAAGTTTTGCTAAGGTAATCTTTTCCTGGGGTAGAAAATCCTTAGTCGTTCAAAACAAATTCAAAGTTTTGTAAAAGACATTCTTGAACAATTGGTCAGCTATAATATATGGTCAATAGAATATTCACAAGGAGTACAAGTCTTTCTTACCTTGGCCTTATTTTCACGAATAACTGATCAACAATAAGACTTCCTGATTATATCAGATTCTCAGTTACTAGAAGTTTTATGTCAACTATATTTATCTATACGAACAAACTTCCTGGACACAAAATGAGATTCCTAGAGCAAAAGAGGGATGTCATATTTACGCCCAAATTCCACCCCATATCTGTTGTAACAAGGACATCACAAAGGAAGGGGAAATCCATCCTACTCTCATGAAGATTAAGAAGCTTTTTCACAAACTTTTCAAGTGATCTTGACAAATTGGACTTAAAATCAAAACTAAACTTAAAATGTTTGTCATTTTCATATCAGGAAGAGCTACAGAACACAGGCATTGGGTTTTCAGAGAAATGTCATTGGAAAAAACTGCTTTCCAATCCAATTCGCGAGTTTAAGTATCACCGTTTAAATCATTTTAACGTTCAATATAATTTGATCCCAAGCAATTCCTAATGAGACAATTTTTTCCTGGAGAAATTCATAATTTTCAAATATTCATGTCTGTATTTCTTCATAATTTTGATGGATTATACATTATCTAATGGACGGTTGTTTTTATTATCATATATTAATAATTATTGTTATCTAAAATTAAACCATCGTACATACTTTTAAAATCTGGCCGTCGTCTGGGTATTCATCTAGAATTTTCTTCAGCTGGTTTATCAGAGGAGGCTGTAACATCTCCGAATATTGAACTTCATCGTCTGATGATTCATCTGATTCCTCTTCCATTTTGTCCCTAACTGGACCTCGTTCACCGGGCTATATTTGTCATATCTAAAATAAAGGATTCAAAATGAAGGTACTAAGCGTTAATTATAAAGAAGTACAACCTATAAAATTTAGTTTCTCCGCTGAATAGAGTGCAAACTTATGCCGAATTTATTTTTATCACTTTCCTCTTGCTTTTATTGTTGTATAGAGCTCTCCATACAAGTATCCGTCGTTTGCTGTTCTAATGTATCAAGTTATGGATTTTATATTATTGGCATAAGAAAATCAATTAAAGTGTGCATATAACGCATAAAATACGACACGTCTTACTTAGATTTTTATAAAGTCATTCCTTTTTTTTTTTGTCTAGAGAAATGTGTGTTTGGGTGAAATATGTCCATGGCCTTTTCCGTGTAAATGGAGACAATTCATGAATAAGGTCTCTTTTTTGTTGATCTTGTACTGCTGATTAGTGTTGCTGTTTTACTATAGTTTTTGGCCAAAATACAAAAAATGGGTAAAAATCATCATTCAAGGGCAAAAACTTTTAAAAGAAGTGGACTTACAATTTCGGTTGTGTTCACTTATATGTTAATTTGATCTTGCTGATAAATTTGCTGTATGCAATTTCCTTCTATCGTCTATAGTTTTTGCCCAACACATAAAAAGGGTAAATATCTTCATTTAAGGGCAATGTCAACAGACAATTTCGGCAATTTGACTCATTGGTAGGTCTAGTCTTGCTAATCATTTTTGCTGTGTTCAGTTTTTCTTTATCTATGATAGTTTTTGCATAAAATGCAAATATTGAGTCAAAGATCATCATTAAAAAGGAAATTACTCCCATGAGAAGTCGGCAAGGCAACTTTATTTGTAGATCCTGTCCTTTTGATAATTTTTGCAGTTTACAGTTTATCTTTATCTACTATCGTTTTAGCCAAAATGCAAATATTGGCAAAAAACGTCAATAAGGGGATAATAATTCTTATAATAAGTAGACTGACAATTTCGACCATTTGACAAATTTGTAGTGTATCACTTAATATTATTTTCAAGATAATAAGCAAAAATGCAAACAAATGTTAAACACCATCGCTAGGGGCTATCTCCTGTAAGGAGTCATCTGTAAACAAGACGATTTCGGACTTGTCTGACTTATTTGTAGACCATGTCTTGTTGGTCATTTTTTAAAGTTCACTCTATAAAAATATTATTTTTTGTGTGTAAAAATTGTCAATTAAGGGCAATTACTACTATAAGGAGTCGTCTGACAGATTAGGTGAACAGTATGTGTAGATCTCAACATTCTGAACATTTCTTCCTTGTCATATTGTAGGAGGGGGTAGTCAGGGGGCATTTAACCCTATGCTTCATTTTTAGCCATGTCGGCCATGTTGGTTAGAAACCGGAATCATCGGATATTTTTTTTGATCTAGGTACCCCGATGATGATTATGGCAAAGTTGATTCCAATTGGCTTAGTAGTTTCAGAGGAGAAGATTGCTGTAAAAGTCAACGGACGACGACGGACGGCTCACTTGACCATTCGGGTTAGGCGAGCTAAAGGGAGATGTTGTATGATTACCAATGAGACAAATATCCACCAGAGACCAAATACCATGGGTGTAAGCAACTACAGGTCACTATGCGAAAAAAAGATATAATTCAGTAAGCTATATGACACACATGTCTAGGCTGCTGGTTGCTGACGCAAAAAAAAAATCTATAATAAATATAAAAATAGGAAGATGTGGTTTATTCGCCAATGAGACATCTCTCTACCAGAGACCAAATGACATAGAAATGACAAATGTAAAACAACTCAATCGAGAAAACAAACGTCCTGATTTATGTGAAAAAAACAATAAACGAAATACAAATAGGATATACAGCAACAAACAACAACCACTGAATTACAGGCTCCTGATTTGGGACAGGCACATACAGAATGTGGCGGGGTAAAAGTTAGCGGGCGCCCAACCTTCACATAACCCGGGACAGTGGTGTAGCATGTAACATATGAACAAACTATAAAAATCAGTTGAAAAGGGCTCAACTCATCAGAACGATACAAAGCAGAAAAACCAATAACAAAAATACACACCGGACGTGGCAGGGTATTTATACATCCCTACAATAAAAAGACACTAAGTACAAATCTGACAGTACTCGCAGTTACTGGCAGCTAGTTCAAAGTCATTAACAGCTAATAAAAAAATAATGCTTATTTGTTGATTAGTTGCTGTATCATAAATGTATACTGTCGTTCGGAAACTAACAAACGTTTAATAGATACATATCTCAAAGCATGCAAAATTATATTTGATAAGCTTACCTAACAAATGATCGAACAATACAGTATTATAAATCTATTGGGTGCAACGAAATGTGTCATTTATAAAATATCTGTGTGTTGTAACCAATAGTTACGCGGTGCAAGTCACACCAAATGCTCCAATTCAAATATTGAATCTATATTTTATGAAATTATGTTTTACAAGAATTCATTCTACTTTTACTTTCGATACTATAAAATAGTCCAACACTCAGATACATGAGTCATCTCAACTATTACCAAAATATCAGCCACTTCGTTAGTGTCTGTACCGCCCGCATCAAGTGACTTATGGTAATAGCTTTTATTAGTTGTTATTATTTTAGTGTGGTCTGTAGTTTCTTTTCGGTTATAGGGTTGACTAAGGATTTTTATAAAGGGGGTCCTTTTTTGTAACTGTGTTACAGCCCTAGATAAAGCCGAAGAGGAAAGGCATTACTCGACTAACGAACGCTATATTTTAATAAAGTCTAGTTAGTTGAGTGGTTTAGGGCGCTGGACACAGTGCAGGTCGAGTTGCCACGATGTGACAGAGGAAAGGTTCAAATCCCGCCGAGGGATGAACAAAACTTTGCGAACGCAAATTTACAGATCTAACATTGTTGGGCTGAATTTGAGATTATTTTTATAAATGATTAGATTCATATACATTAACATCATTTGATTCTTTTTCAAATAAGGGGGGTCTCTCGGCACTGCTCTTTAACTCAATCTATCAATTTCGTTTTATATACTAATTACAGATTGTGGTTTGATGTAAATCTGATTATTGTGACTCCTCTATCATTTATCTTTTATTCAGTTACAACATTTCTTTTTTAAAAGTTACCAAGTATGTGCGTATCTTATTATATTGCCTTCTTATAATGAAAAATCCTCTCTGAAACCCCCGAGTCAGTTGCATCGGAGGATTCACAAATCCCACATTATGATGAATGCATATAGTAAAAGCTACAACTTCTAAATACATTCTATAATTGAAAAATATAACATTTATTCAACATTCTTTAATATCTGCCACTTTCTTGGATCATAACCGATGCACTGGTTTTGCGCCAATTGGCATTTCATTTGCGCAAAAAAATCTTTCATTTGCGCTACAAACCATATTTATACTTATTTGCGCAATAAAAAAACCATTTCATTTGCGTCAATTATACAGGTAAATAGTATAAGACATAAATTGAAAGAAACTGACCGTGCGAGACCCTCATGGATAGTCAAGGTCGTTAAAAAACACACTCATCGAGAAAAAGAGACTTCTAATTAAAATGTTACAAAATAACACCTGGACACAATAATCGAATCACTATGGTTGCATATGACATACAAACTTCGAAGTCCTTATTGAATAGACCAGAAGGATGATACAAGCACAATCTTTTATGGCAGTACCTCTTAATATTTTAGAACAAAGTTTAGTGTGCACATATTTATACAGGGAACACTTCCAATGTTCCAAATAGGGAATAAAAGGACAGTTATCAGTACCAAATCAGATGTTGGGTAGACTCTCTAATTTTGGGATTGTTTTTAAGATTTATATTGAATAAGGTAAACGCGTCCATTTTGCCATTTTTTGCCAATGAGACACACACAGTGGAGACGCATATCACCCAGAGACCAAAGGACGTGGATGTTAGCAACTAAAGATCATCATGTGGCCTTTAACAATGAGCAAAAGTACATACTATATAGAAAACTATAGGATGCATATGTCTAAGCTGTTGGTTACGGACGACCGTGTGGTCAATTATATATATATATATGTGTGTGTTGCTTTTTGTTGCTTAGTTGCTCTATTGTAAATATGTGTTCTTTTACTGCCGTTCAAAAACTAACAAAGTTAACATTGTATAGATTTATATCTTAAAACATGCAAAATGATTTTTTAAACTTACCTAACATATTAACGATACTCAGAGTTTGTCAAAATCTATAAGAAGGAAGGAAATGTGTGGTTTTCCTGTTTGAATTGTTTTACACTAGTCATTAAATATATCTAGCTATGTTGCAAGATGTGCATATTGTCAAATTATAAATATACAAATTGTTTAGTCTCTAAGAAAAATAGTTTATTCACTAAAAGTGCTATATTGATAACTCTTGTCCTAAAAAATGCACACACTTATGTAGCTGTTAAATTAATAATGAACTTCAATATATATTTTGGCTTTTCTAGTATTTTTATTTTATTGTTTTAAATTTTATGTATTTTTATTTTATTTTTGGGTGTTGTGTTAACCCATGGAATATAACGTTCAATAGTCGACATTTCTAAATCAATTAGGAAACGTTAGAAGCGGCACTTGAAAAAAGTATACACATTTACCCTATATGTAGCTCCAGCTCAGTCCTTTCCCCGGTGCCCCCTCCCCTCCCCCCCCCCCCAAAAAAAGAAAAAGAAAAGAAAAGAAATAAATATAAAATCCGCCTCTGACTTCATAAGTTAAAGCCCGGTGGAAATAGATAATGTATAAATGACAAGCAAAGCAATCATTTGCAAATTTATAACTGTTTTCAGATGGCTCCTTCAGTATCCTCGAGCTTCGATTGAATACTAGTAATATAATGTTTAATCATCGTGTTGAGGTATTTGTGAAGAAAATGTAGAACATTTTACCTGATACAATTTACCGAAATATCGCATGAACCTTATTTTTATTTATAGAAAACTGCAATTCTTTAGAAAATAAATCCTCCAAAAATGAGGGAAAATGCTCAAAA